GGGGTGGCTCCCCGGTGCCGGTGAAAACGGGCGGGGTCCGGGCCCCCCTTTTTTGTAGGCCCGGGTGGGCGGGCAAAGAGTTACCCCCCTGTGGAAAACGTCAACGAGTGAAAGTAAAGCTTTTATCAAATTTCTAGATACTTGCGGATAAGCTAGAAGGAGGACCCCTTATTAACTTTTTTTATAACCTTTTTTTGGCGGGGGGCAAAAACGACGGGTCACCTGAATTATTTGCTACGCCCCCCATGGACACTGCACTCAATCAAAAATGGTTGACCCCTTTTTAAGGACTCCCCGGTTTTTAGGGGGGAGGGGGTTTGCTGGACCTCCGATTAATATCAATTCTCGTACATAAATAATTATTAATATCTTCCCTATGTGGTTGGTATCACCCGTCATAGCAGCAGCAATGGTTGACGCTACTCTAAGATACTAAAAGTTTTATGTTCTAAAAACGTTTTGGGTGCTTTGGAATGGAATTAAAGAGAACTTACGAAAAAACCTGAGTTTCACGACGACTTGCGCAAAATGTTTATGCGAGCTGGAGTGAACTATGAAGATACCGTATTCCTGTTTACTGACACACAAATCACCAAAGAGGAGTTTCTCGAAGATATCAACAACATTGCTCAACTCTGGTAGGTTAAAGCAGTTATGTTGTAATAAAAACATTTAGCGCACTATTAAAATGGAGGGTATAGAGTGTGTGCCGTCAGTTAATCTAATTAAAATAAGAAGTATTACCGATTTCAACGTGCCTTCCATCCTTGGGGGTAGTATTTGTTCTTCAAATTTAGATTGAGACTAAAGATCCGCAAAAAAAAATATATATTAATCAAATCGGTTCATAAATGATGAACTTCTAAGGTACGAAATATAAAAACAAGACAAACGAGTAAGAACCTGCTTCTTCTTTTGACTGATACACAATACTTCATGGCAACTACTTTTCTATAATGTGTAGTTATAGACGGTATACTTAACGGGTCGGTCGGTAACGGTCGGACATAGGCAGTAAGGTAAGTAGGACAGAGTAAGAGGGCTTGCAAGCAATAGCTTGAATGGTCCCATTACTTATACGCACTAAATTTAGTTAAAATATATTTTCCACTTCTATGTATCATCAAAACAATAATGTGAGATTATAGTTGGAACAAGTACCAATTCTCCCAAAAAATCGAGCAAAATAACAAAAGCTTCTTAAAAAATTGCATACTGATATTTAATACTATAACTCGATAATTGCAAATTACCCATCTCTTACATGCTAATTTATATTATAAAGAAACTTAGAAAAAGAAATTTAAAGAAGCATTAATGTAGTAACAAGATACTTTAATTACCAAGGAATGATTTCCGTTCGAACGAATAAAAAGCTCTTTATTTATCATATTTTTTTAATCACTTAGAGTCATAAATTTGGCTGGTTGGTTTGTACTTTATAGTTAACTTACTGGATGAGAAAAATAAATTATTTATGAACACATAAGGGGCACAATTACGTTGCAACACTGTTTATACGTTACTGCAATACCATACAAATGCTGTAACCTTCAAAGGTTTAAAGCGCATTAAAGTAAAATATATTCAGATATATTTTTTCTTAATGCGACTTACTATTTCTTTAAATAAGTTTAACTTATTAAGTGTGTAAATGTTGTCTTCTTACATATTGGTGTCAAAGCTGTTAGTTATCTATATATCAATTATTGGTGGCATCTTGAGCTCTAAAAATATCTTAATAAAGAAAAAAATCAAAAATGAGGCTTATTAAAGCCCATTGACGACAGTGATACTTTTTATAAATCCAAAATTAAAATCCAAAATTGATCACAAACGTTATTTTTATTATAATAATCAGGTTCCTATCTTTGGAGTCCTAACCACCGGTGTCTTGGTCCCTGTACCCGATGTCGGTGGTCTACTATTATTTATATTTTTAAATGTATTTTTTTTCTTTAGTAATATATTTAAAAATGTAATTAATATGTAAATATAATTTAATAAAGAGAATAATAATCTCACACATCATCTCACACACGGTCGTCCCAAACCAGACAGAGCCTTTGTTATGGTAACCAGTCTGCTTTTAAAGATACTTAAATATTTCTAAATACGATTATATTATAGAAAAATTTCACCCAGACTTAGAACAAATTAATTATCGTTCTCATCAAACTATTATTTGTCCTGGGAGGGAATCAAACCCACGACCTCCGGTTTAGCAGTCAGTTATAACAACAATACATCTATTCGTAAAATATATATAAACTCCGTTTGCCATGTAATAACCGCTCTACAAGCTTCGACTGCAGATGCACACGTGCGTGCATAATTGAAGCTAATACTTGTTTTCGACCACCCCTCTATAGCAACAGTACTATCATCAGCCAGTGCTCCAGGCAGTCCCCCTCGCCTGGCCGGCGATCCCTTTGTGTTGGAGAGACTAACAACTAAATCGATAACATCCGTTCGCCTGATGCATCTGTCCCCTCACAAAGTATGCGCGTTACTATGCGAGATGGTTTTGATGTTTCGTGATCATGTTTTATTAATTTTATTATTAATTCATTTTCAGACTCATATTCATGTTAAACAAAAACAATCGTTTTGAAATTTTACTTTATTATATTAGGTATTCAGTTAGAAGTTGGAGAGTTGTATAAAAAATTTAAAGCATAAAAATTTTGGTTACTTTTTATTTTAGCCAATCAAAGTACTGCCTCAATTATCTATACAATTTTGCCATTTTGATGGCAGTTTGTCCCTTTACTGTAGAAGCCTGCTGCACGGGAGGCGATGAAGTCAGCGGAAGGGTTTTGTTCTGTCTCTCGGGTGTTGAATTTTGTCCCACTAAAAAAAATTACTAAATGTTGAGAAAAGTAGAAATCTGTATGGGCAAGATCCGGTGAGTACGGTGGGTGATGGAGAGCTTCCATCTGTCACTCTTTGCTGCTTTGCGATGGTCTGTCGTGATGTGTGAGCTCACGCGTTGCCGTGGAAAAGCAATGGGGAAGACCGATTGACCAGGCCTGGTTGTTGAATTGCGGGCTTAAAAAGATACCCAAAACGTTGGGATTCGTTTGCAACTTGCAACTGTAGTGAGTTATTACTCAGGTTTATAGCTTTTACATGCGTTTGCGTTCCCCATTTAACTGAATAAGTGTATCACTAGGTGTTATTGCTTAATCGCTAACAAATTTTCTTTTTCTCAGGTGAGGTGCCAAACTTATTTGAAGGTGATACCTACGAGAATGTCCAAAGTGGCTGTCGAAACGAAGCTGCTAAAGCTGGCATTAATCCGTCCGATCGCGATGGAGTTTATTATTACTTCATAAACCGTAGTGCGCAGCAAATTACATCTCTGTTTTTGTATGAGTCCTGTCGGTGAAGCTTTCAGGTAATGTACTTTATATTGCGAATAGAGACATTTGAATTTACAAATATAAGTTTGAAATTTTTTTAATGTTCTATTTATTTAACTGACGTAGCAATTGACTGATTTGTTTAAGTAAACATACCTGTCGAAAGAATAATTCTTGTGCATTGACGACAATGTCCCCTTCTTTCCCACATACATTTTATTTATTCTCTGTTGATCACACACATCAATAGAACATATTGCTGTCACTGTATAACGCGCTCTCTGATTCAAGTAGAAAATCTGCTATAACCTGTTTTTATACAATAGTTTATCGGTAATAGCCCGGATACACCGTCGGTTACACAACGAAATAATGCCGTTGAAAATAACGAACGGTAAATTTGAAACAGCGCTCTGACGATATCAAATCGTACGAGTAATAGTACATATAGAATGATTGCGTGCCGAAAATAACAGCATTAAAATTTGCCTAGAAAAAGGCCTATTACTAAACAATCAGTTATTACATTTGTAGACGCCGTTGTCGAATGTTCCCGTCGCTAGTTAATTGCTGTACCATCGATTGGTTCACTAAGTGGCCTCCTGAAGCCTTGCATTCTGTCGCCTTACAATGCCTACAACCACTTGGAAATCAAGAAGTTATAGAAAAGATATCCAATATTTGTGTAACTATGCATCAGGTACGGAGATATAATTAGAAAACGTTAATTGTAAAAATAATTCAGATATGCAGAACTTTGCCAAGAATTTATATAGTACCAATATCATTTAATAATTCAACTGTGACATTTTTGCTTTGTATTAATAAACTCCGCATTATCCCAAATAATTTTGGGCCGTTACTAGTACTATATATGTATATATATATATAAATGATTTAACATGCAAAAAAATCATAACATTAATAGTCATACCTAATATACACAAAGGGTAACAAATAACTAAGTACTAGTCAATAATACTCGTACTTGATATTAATTCCTGTATCACCAATACTTACCTGGCATATTTAGGACGTGGATGTGATGACGGATCGCCTGTATCAAGAGATGAGGACGTTACTTCTACACGACGCCCAGCAGTTACTTGGACCTGCTTAAGTTATACATGTTACTTCTCGATAAGAAACAACAGCAAATTATAAGAGGAAGAGATAGAATTCTCCTGCGGTTTGCAGGTAGTTTACAAAATAGTAACATCACATTTATACATACATACAGGTAAATTAGCTTGGAGAAATTTTTACGTTTGTAGTAGTGTATGGTTGTGCGTGTTTTCCACTTTCCACTATCAAGTGACAATTTTTTGCTTTAGATTGAAATATCTCGGCAACGGTGCTTCCTAGGCCAAAAATAACAAAAATTTTGACCCCCCGTAGACAGCCCGGAGTTTTAAAAACCTAGATGAAAGGAAAAAAAAAAAATATATAAATATCGGTCTCTCCTCTTTGAAGTTTCACTTCTATCGTGTGTGAATCGCACACACACCTTTTTTTTTATAAAGTCAAAACCTTTTTCTTTAAAATAAAAACTTGTTTTTATTGAAAACAAAAATCCAGAGTGTTGCTAGGGATAAGTATAAAATTAAATAGTAATGTTAGGATATCGAAACATTTTTGTATAGGCCAGAACGATATAGTGGAAACGCGCTCTAAGATCTGAGTAATATACACACCACTACATATGCAAAAATTTCTCGAGACTAATTTCACTGTACATACATCACATTGGTACTGGCCAGTCTAAGATCGATATCATTATTTCAACTTAGAATTCCAAATTCGTTTTAATATTTGCGCTAATATTGCTTGATTGCTATTATTAATTATTGGCTAATATTAATTATTGAAATTGCACAAGATTTTTGAATGCTAGTTACGGTTCGTGACTTGCATTTATCACACCTCTTAGGTAGCACTTCTTTTTTAATTTTAATGAATCAATTCTCAAAATCTTTGATCTCAACACTAAGGCCAGAGAGGAAAGTATGTATATGGCTTTTCTACTGTACATACAGGTTCATTGAAAAGCCATAGTGGGAGCAGATTTATCATAACTACTGCTTATTTAGTAGCAGTCAACGTAAGTGATAAAATCATTTAAATAAATCACTCATCACCCTTTTATGTCTGAGTTAGTTATTATATTTCATACAAAAATAGGTTTTAAATAAGTAGGGGTTTAATTTTAAGTAGCACCAATACAACAACAAGATGATTATTGTAATTGGTGAGTAAATGACGCAGATATCGTGTAACACACACACACACACACACACACACACACACAAATCCATACAAAAAAATACAGAACCTTGTGCTTATGGAACTCTGTTAAAAACTACTACATTTTTAGTATTATCTTATGTTGAAAAGTTCCTAGACTCTATGACCCCACAGCGACCACTAAGTATGCTTCTAAATTACCGTACAGCTCTATAACTGGATACGATATGTTTACTTTTTTAGAAACTGTACGAAACCTACGACGTGGTGGGTGTTATGGAAGCACAGGTACGAGAAATGGAACCGATTCTAGCGAGGAAAGCTGAAGAAGGTATCGCTCTAGTCAATCGGTTGAAGGTTGAGCAGAAAGCGGCCGATGAAGTGAAACAAATGGTTATGAAAGACGAGGCTGAAGCTAAGGTATGTAAATGTGTTTTTTTTTTTCATGTGTTAACATCATATTCATGAAAAAAAACCTTTTTATTTTTCTTTCTTCACGTAAATAGTGTTAATTGATAAAAAAGGATTTAGTAGACGTCTAATACTAAAAATATATGATAAAACGTGATAAAACTTTCATAGAATACATAATCAATCTATAATAGTCTCTGCTTAGTTTGGGATCAGACTGCCGTGTGTGAGATGTGTGAAGTTATATTATTATAATATGCATACGAGATTATATATATATAGATTAAAGATTAGGGATTAGAACTGCTTTAGAAAAATCTGCGTTAACAATCGTATGAAGAAACGACTTTCACTTTTTTTTTATTAGATAAAAGCAGCCGAAGTGAAAGAAATAGCGGACGAAGCGAAAGCAGATTTGGCTCTGGCTATGCCAGCTATGGAAGCAGCTCAAGAAGCTCTAAAGTCCCTTAATAAGGCTGATATCAATGAATTAAAGGCTTTCCAGAAACCTCCTACCCTAGTACGATTCGTTATGGAACCCGTATGCATACTACTAGGCGTTAAGTAAGTTGATGTTTTAAATTTTTCTTTACAAGGTTGGCATATTCTTTATGAAATGTCTTTGTATAGTAGTTTTGTAAATGAGAATTATAAGCTTATCTACAGGTGTTAACGCCTACACACAATTTAACAGTGCAATCATACAAGTAGTGAAAGAAAACAAAATTGAAATAATACTGATTAAGTGGTATATTTTAAAAACGGAACTGAAATACCACCTTTTAACTTTATCATATATCTGACTTTCTTCATTACAATCTTTATTTATTGATACAGGGTATCAATAAATAAAGATTATTATTACTGTTTTGAGGCAGGGTACAGGCAGTTTATTTTAGTAACAAATGCAAAATCATCGTTTATCCTTGTTTATGTACAGAATAAACGTCAAGCCAACTTAATTTGGTTTGTACTGGTAAAAAACACGAAAAAGTTAGGGCTACTATCGCCTCTCTTACCATATTTCTTTCTTATATGTTTATTAAACATTAAAATAATTGTTTTAATATATATCACTTTTAAGATGGAGCTTATTAATTGTATAACATAACTCTAATTATAAATGTGTGTATCATTCAGTTTTACTCGTAATTAATAACTCAAGATTTCTGTCAACAGACCTGATTGGGATCACACAAAAAGGTGTTGGCTGACGTGAACTTCCTTGGCAAGCTACAGGACTATGACAAGGATCATATCTCAGACAGTATACTAAAAAAGCTCAAAGCATACCTCACTCACAAGGACTTCAATCCTGACACTGTTGTTAAAGTTTCTAAGGTATGGCTTAAAATAGTTTAACCCATTTTCAGGTCTCAGGGAAAACCTGGTTATCCTTTCAAACCTTAACGGTGCCTTAACGTACTAAACATTTTTATACTTTACGTTTTAACTTGTATTTTTACATATGCCTAAATATTTTCAGGTGTGCCGTTCAATGGTCTTATGGGTGCAAGCTATAGACATGTACGCGAAGGTGTTTAGGGTTGTAGAACCTAAGATCATTAAGTGAGTCTCATTATAAGTAACAATTATGTCATACGATAGTCATACGACAAAACAAGGTTTTTAACTAAAGTGTGCACTCTGAAATATTGCTTTTATTTAAAGTTATAAACATATAACAGCATACAGCAGTATTTTATGTTTATCAATCTTGAATATATTTTAGGCAGTGTTGTTATTTATTCAAGATTTAGCCGGCTTTACTCAGGTGTGCAATTGTGTGCCCGACGGCGTGCGCAATGTTTTAGGCGTAAATAAGCCGTCGCCGTGTCTTCGGCGATGTCAACCAAATACTATAATAAATATGAATGGCCTAGTACTATTTACTCATTTGCAGTAATGTTTTATGCAGCAGATAATTTATTTTGTTGTTTCTGTTAAGTATTGTGTTATGAGAATTGTTATCCAATGTACTGAATACATGTATACCCAATTTTTGTATAATCAATTTATTATTATGGAAAATGAGTATATCCAGGTATGGAAGAATGCAAAAAACGGTTCTTTACGTAGGTATATAGTAAAGTAACCAATATATAGTCCGTTGAAGACATATTGGTTATTCTGTATTATTTGTAAAACAGAATTTAAAGATATACAATTCTGCAGTATATATTATAGAAATCAAATATAGATCACTTAGTACCCATAATATTTTGTGGCCGCTGTGCTTCCCTGTTTAAAAGGGTGTATGCCTATTTTACTTAATTTTGCCCTCCGCTTTACTAAGGCGGGAAGTGGATTTACTGTATTTCCAACTCCTCCAATTTCCTTCTCATTAATTTCGTTGCGGGTTCCAAGACAGTTAAAAATTTTTTTCATGGGTTTACCCGAGTGTATTCGTGTGCCACTGCTGTTGATCCTTGTGTACAGGAGTTACAGAAGAGGGCGTGTGGGAGGGATTAGTCCCATTAGTGGTTAGAGCAACTCAATCCCAAGCAGCTATATCATTGATGTAATCTTTAACGAAGTAATAAACTTTTAAAATAAGCCTGGGTAATAAAAATTACGTGAAATTTTTAAACTATTTATTGGTAAACTAGATAAATTGTTTTGGGATTATTTTAAAGAACAATTTCATACAATTTCCCTTGAATGAATTATGTACCTTATGGAGCCGAGTACCTAATGGGCACTGCGAGCTTATGCTTATTTCTAGTATCAAGTGTGTTTAAATCACAGTTTTTCAAATTTCCCAAGAATCTCATCTGCGAACAGACATTATATTTTAACATATATATTGACTATGCTCAAGTAAAAATAATTACAGGTCTTGAAAATAAATTGATTATGTAAAATCAAGTTAACTAAAATTAATGTTTTCTTTTCTTTCAGGCACAAAGAAGCAGCCGCTATACTCAAAAGTGTAATGGCAGTGCTCAGAGCAAAGCAAAAGGAAGTGGAAGAAATCGAAGAAAAATTAGCTAAAATGTTAGATGAACTCCGAGTACGTATTCATACCCAGTTCACTAGAGTTTGATCTCATACAGGTGTTTACAGTCAGCATACAGTTGCTTGTAAACTTATGCTTAGGGGTTGCGTAGAGGACATCGGCGACGGTACCAGCCGCCGACGGGGCCGCGGGCCGTCAGAGAGTAGGGACCTCTGCTGGCAGATTGAATGAGTGCAGGTAGGAGATAGGATGGCAGCCTGATTGCATTAAGACGCAATTAAGGGGGGTAAGTGTATTTCCCCTGGGATAAAGCCTGATTGGGCATGGTGTCAATTCGGGGAGGACCTGAAATAACATTGTCCGGGTCCTCCCAGAGTAGGGCGCCTGAGGCCGGCTGTCGAGGTGGTGTTTAGTGGAATCACCAAATACTCCCAGCTCCTGAGTCCCCGCGGAGCAGGAGATCCGAAGGCTTATTACCTACTTTTCTTTATCTGCATAATTACTACTTAATTCTTCATTAACTGCTATTATGCGAGCTTATTTTGGATAGTTACAGGTCAATAAATAAAATCAATACAATATTTTTATTTATTTTATTCTTTTACCTCTTTATAGAATCGTGTATTAAACCGAATAAAAATATAGTTTACATTTTAGACAGGTGAAATAGCCGGCGAAGAATAATATTGATACGCGTATCACAGTATTCCAAGAACATATATTTAACTTATAATACCCGCAAGATCATATGTGACAATGTGCGATATCTTCGCATCTCGACTAGTTATGAAACACATACTTAGTTAGGATTATTTGTGTAAATGAATAATAGTTACATGCTAAACCTAGGTTTGCGGTCTTTAATTTCATTGTGAGTGCATCTCATCCATAATCAAGAAGAATTTGTTATCGCGGCCCAGTCGAACCAAACTGTATGATGTGTACAAATCGTTGTTGCTACAAGTCGTGGTAAAATAATGTCATAAAGATAATAAACAATGATTCATGATGAAATATCAAATGGCACATGAAAGTAGTAAGTTTTTTAGTCAACGTTTTTAGTTCAATTAAAAACATATTTTCAATGTTTATTATAAAATGTACGAAGAAGAAAGTGTAACGCAATCCTAGATGTTAATACAGCTTTGAAAGTTGGTCGGTAAGTTGAAGTTATTTTGCTATTTTTAATTGTTTGAACCGATTAAAAAGATATATTTATTTGTTTTAAAGGTTCAACTGTCTAATTGTTCTCATTGTCATTATTTATTTATTTTATTTAAATAAAACCAATAGCTACGAGTTACCATTTCAGGCATTTCTTTTTTCTAATGATATCCTGCAATCAGTCGTCTGGACCATGAGCAGATGTGTACACCACATCAGCAAGGCAGGATGTTTTTTGCGGTGTTAAAGAACTCCCAGTGGAGCCCACCCTTTATTTCATTTAGTCAGCAAGTTAGCGATTATACTCATCAAATAAGTCTCGTCGCTTTTTTCAGTCGACAAGTTGTCTCGGGAATTGGGAGCTGTCCTGCAAGCTGGTTTGGGTGTTTTTTGAAGTTGTGACTTGTAGCTTGAGCCATGGCTGTTGATCACATCTCTAACCATGGGCATGTTTAGGATTTCGTGTATTTTCTTTGTTGTCATGAACTATGGCGCATTGGTTATTTGTTTCAGGATATAGTTATGCACCCTTGGTATAGTCATTATATTCCGAATCGGCTTTAGAACGATTGTAGATGAGAACCTTGTTTTCGGTTGTCAGTTTGGAGTTCGTACTCAGCAGCCAGTATAAGCCTTTGCCATTGCAGGCATAAACAATAAATAACAGAAAGCCTAATTACAGGTTTTCAAGAGTAAAAACCCAGGATTTTCGATATAATTTTGAATAAAGCTTTAGTTTCTTTAATGATTTTAATTCACGTCTATTTTCCTTCGGCACCATTAGTATTTATTATTGTTTTTTGTCTTTTAACTGGGTAATAGCTATAAAACATAATGTCCCAAGCCACAGAATAGGAGACAATGACCATAAAAGTAAATAAAAAAAGGTAAGAATTGAAATGAGATTTATGTGGGATTTGGAAGTTGGAGTTGGAATGTGCATGAATTTGGTTTATATAAAAGCGGGCAAAGCTTGTAAATGATATACAAATATATGTATAATATTAAGAAACCAGATACAACATTTATACATACCCTCTATTCTACATTCCCAAAGGGTGGTCGGAGGCGTTTTAAACTCAGATACAAACGACATTTTGGAGATAAGACCATTGTGAGTATATACGAAGGCATATAAGAATATAAGGTTTTCGTAGGAGAAGAATATTGCTTAGACGTATATTAATAACGCATATTATCTGTAATTAGCTATTGCCGCCAAGTCCTAGCTCTCTACAACTTGATAAATACTACTACTACATTCGAAAAAACTAATCAAGATCTTTAGTATAATTTCTCTGGTATTACTTACCTACTATATATTATGATTTACGTCATTTCACTGAGATTTTGGTATATCTTTGGTTTTTGCATAGGTAAAGAAATAGTAGTACTGCAATAAAATATTCAATGCCGGTAAATATCTATTAAAAGATAATTCACTGTGAACAACATTCAAACAATTTTATTTATTGAAACCCTTAAAAAATGGATATTTAACCAGGGCTATCAGTGAGGCCAACTTAAAACGACTAGAACTGCAACCAAAATGTGGGTAGGTATGAGCAGTGGGGACAAAGGGCCCAAAAAGCTGGCCAAAAATGAAAAAAAAATCATTATTTTACTAGAAAATGGTTGGAGGTTGTAAATAAGTATTAGCTAGAAAATAAAAATAAATAATAATTGTTCCGGACTGCCCTGTTCATTTTTAAGAATTTATTAGTAAAATATAGTATTGCAAAGCCGAGTCTTGAGATAAACTATTCGTGATTTCATGTCACCATATTAGATTCGCCACTTATTAACTAGATCTTTAATTTTAACTAAGTATTCGTAATCAGCAACCCTTGAATTTTATATGTAACTTGATTACGTTAGATAATATGGGGTATTTCGTGCAAGGGGGTGGTCCATTAAGGGTGAAGGGGTAAATTTTTGTGAATTTGACATCTAATTTGCAATCAGCGACCACGAAAGCCCCCGAGAAATAAATTACATATCATTTACTTAATTGTTAGATTTTTGGCCAGCTTTTTTGGATTTGCCCCCACTATGGGATAGTTGTTGCTGTGATGGTATGTCTTACTATAGTTATGAGTTACTAGGTATGTTGTCTCATGTCTCTTAACATTCATTAGGTACTAAATAACGGAATGAAAAACTTGCATTTATTTTGATTAAATATGGTTTATTTGTATAACACCAAATACTGGAATTAATACTGGTTCTACGAGAAAACTTTCAGAACACTTAATATTAGAAATAACATTATATTTTGATCCATCAATTAATTACATATATTACCGAAGTTTGCCAAGTGTGTTTTTTTTAAATACTAACATTAATTTTATATTTTAAAGTACACAGATATGGTAGATAGTGATAATTGTAGGCCGATAGAACGAGTCTGTTGAACAATTTAAGTGTTAAATACAGCCTCTTCAGTAGGTCAAATAGGTAGTCTTAATACTTAAAAAAAAATCTACTTGAAACACGATTTTTTAACATGTACCTACACAATTACTAATCACAACAAATATCGCTTAATGCTTCGTAATACTATTTAGATTTCTAAGGTTATATTGGATAAGTAAATCAATTACAATTACTATCCTATTAGTAAGAGACTTAGATAAACATTGTTCAAAAGACATATAAACATTGTTCAAAAGAGAAATAAACTAAGCCTTTAATTTAATATTAATTACCTAAATAAAGAGGAACATAACAGTATTCCTTTTAATAATTATTTCAATAATAATTAACGTGACCACTTTTAGTATTTAATACATATTAAGTCCAATTTTGAATAAATAGACAATATCAGACTTTTCACTCTTTAACTACACGCTTGATCTATTTTAACAATATTATAAGTAATATATAATAGGTATATAAAGTATAAAACGTGTATATATAAAAAAATTGATTGTCAATATACAGTAAAAAGTACCAAAGATTAAATAATTGTTAAATATATAAAGTTACAAAATACGATGAGAATACTACCCTTTTATAGTAAGTAGGTAAAATAGTAACTAATTGTACGAAACATTATTTTTACAAAATAGATAGTGACAAGAAATAATATTAATGTTATTGATTGGACAGACAACTTACCACACAAATACTCCTATACAGATTGTATACAAAGCAGCGATGAACGAAAAAAATTCCCAAAACCCAAAACAGACTTTAAAAGTCTAAAATGCCCCCCCTGCCAACCAAAATTTTGACAATTAAGGTTCCCAAAATTTAAACGAAAATTTTTTCCTTTTTAAAGGCCCCCAATTTTAAAATTAAGGGGCCTCAAATTTTTTCCCTCTTTAAAAATCTTTTTTTATTTTTTCTAAAAAATTTAAATTTTTATTTAATTTTAAAAGAAACCCTTTAAAAACAATTTTTCCAAAAATTTTTAACAAAAGTTAGAAATTATGGTCCCCTTTTTGGGTTTTTTAAAAATTTATTCCCGAGGTTTTCGGGAATTTTAAATTTTTTTTGTTTCTAAATATGTTTCGCCCCTTATTTCAGGTAAATATTTTATTTTTTTTCATAAAAATTTAAAAAGAGGGGAAAAACCCCCAAAAATTTTTAATAATTAAATTGTTTTCGAAAAGGTAAAGTCAGGCCCTAAAAAAGTTGGGGTTACCCCCCAAAATTTCGGGGGCTTTAATTAAAATTTTGATTTTATTTGCTTTCTTTAATTTTTTTTCAATTTTTTAAAATTTGTTTACTTTAAACTTTTTTAAAATTTTTTTTTTCAAAAAAAAATTTCCTTTGGAGTAGTTTAAAAAAGCTTTTTTGGGGGGGCCGCCAGACTTTTTCCCTTTTTTTAAGCAAAAAATTGAATTTTTAAAATTTTAGAAAATTTAGTTTCTCCCTTTTAAAATGTTAAAAAATTTTTTTTTAAAATTTTTTTTTCCCTTTTTTTTTTAATTTAAATTTAAAAAAAGGGCAATTTTTTTGGGGGTTTTTTAACCTTTTTGAAAAGGGTTACCGGAGAAACCATTTTTGTTTTTAATTTTAAATTAATTTTTTTAAATAATTTTTTTCGGAACAATAAAAAAAAAAAAATTTTTTAATTGGGAACCGGGTTAAAATTTTTATTTTTAAAAAACCTTATAACGTTTTTTTTGGACCTCTAAAAAGGGATTTTAAACCTTTTTCTTTTTGAAACAAAACTTCTTTAAGAATTTTCGTAAAAAAACAAAAATTTGGATTTAAAAATTTTTTGGGGAAATTTTAAAAACCTTTTCCAAATTTACGCCCAAAAATTTTTGGGCCTTTTTTTCCACCGTTTTTAAACCTTGTTGGGGTAATTTTAAATTTTATAAAATTTTTTTTTAAGAATTTAATTTTGACCAAAATTTATAAAGGAAAGTTACCATAATTAGATAATTTGCGGGATTTTTTAAATAAATTTTTATTAAAAAAAAAAAATTGGTAACCCACCCATTTTTTGGGTTTCCAGGGGTCCCCCGTAAATTTCGGCCCCTTTTAAAAAATATGTTTAGGAAAATTAAATTTTTGCAAGTTTTAAACCGGGAAAAGAACCATTTTGTTTACAAAAAACTTCCCCCAAAGTGTTTTTTAAAATATTTTTTTTTTAATTTGGATTGTTTTTTTTTTTTTTTTTTTAAATATTTTTTTATTTAGGATTGTTTTTTGCATAATTAGTAATCAGCCGGGAGATTAGGTATTGTTTTGAATGCTTTTGTTTTCTCGTAATGTTTTGGTGAATTGTTTATAGTTGTTCATAGAATTGGTACCTGCGTAGTATTTGTTAATTCAAGTTTAATTTTAGGTAGGTAGGTATAGGTAATTTAAGAAATATGAAATGAAATGATAAGTTTTGAAGAGTGTAACGTATGCGTTGTAAATAAGTATTTTGTGAATAGATGGGGATTTTTTTAAGTGATGAATCGACTTAGGCTAGCATATCGCGAACAAACTCTGTATTGCATTATTTCTGTAATAATGTTGGAGAAAATAAAATATTTGATCACAAAATCGCGGTGAGTTAAATTATAATAAAATAAATTATTTCTGTAAAATTAGTAATAAGTGATATACCTACCTAAAAGTTATGATCGTTTTTAATTTGTTCACCCTGAACGAAATTTCAATATTAGCATTAGTAATTAATATCCTAAGACAAGAATTGACAATTACTTAAATTGAATCGAATTAGCATTAATGCCTATTATTAGTAATTAGGTACACACATATTGAAGAACTCTCAAGAATACGATAAATATTTGCAAAAATAGAAAGCGGAAGCGCACACGTACTTTACAACACGTATATTATCTGCCTAAGGGTCAAGTTTAGTGCACTGGATACAAATTGCAAACAATGAAGTATCCCTTCGCCCCTCCCCTCCCGCGTTCTAGCGAAGGATGTATTATCAGCGATTCTTGATTGACAAATATTATCTGACCAATAATTTTATCTATAAAAATGTATCACTTTCACTCGATAAATTAAATTACCGTTATTATATCAAAATATCATTCAACAACTGTTCGTTTTTAACAGAAATCAACAGTCACGGGCTCAACGCTTAACGGTAGGTACATAGGTATAGATAATTCTCGGTTCTAGGTATAGACCACAGAACAATATTACCTACTCTTACGAGGTATACGACTGTTGGGCGATGCAATGTTGATGCATTCTAATTTACAACTGTATTCTTCTACTATTCGGTCTATTTTAACTAATTGTAGATGACTTGTTGCTTTAAATATTTTGATGCATTCAAGTCTAAGCTCTAAAGACCCCAAAATAAAATACAATTACTTTAGTGTTATTTCTTTACAATTCTTGCTTCTTTCTTATTGGTTTAAATTTTCGTTTTATTGCAGTCAGGTGAATCGTTCATACATGTATCTACATATTTATAATTTTAGCGGACCAGTGCAGATTTTCTGTTGATTGTAGCTCCGGTAGTAAAAAGACTAAATAAATTTTAAGTAAAGAAACTAGTGCTTAAGATCAATTAGGGAAAAAAACAAAATAAATAATAGGTAATAAATAAATATTGAATGTATTTAACACTGTACGCAACTGTACCGAAATCGTAAGGTGTATTACACTAAACATTTTAAAAGACAGCGCAATGTACTGGGTGATCGCTTTTTTGTAACCACCTAAACATGGTCGGATTACCACGGACTTGCACCTTCTAATGACTTTTATTTAATTATCTCGTAAATTATTATATGTACGACCCTGAAATTCTACAGGTAGACGACTGAACTAAACAACTAATTATTGGCATAACATTCAGTTTATATATCCACACACAGGTTTAACGGTGGCCAAAAAAGGCCGCACTCATTGTGATCGTGAACGTGAAGAGCTACATTTCATCATAACTTTTTAGTCACTTACAGTATTCTTACGAAAATTCGTATACATTTGAAGGTAGTTACAAGCAATAGAATAACGTTTCAAGTAAGTCTTTAGAGGTCTTATTTAAAGTGTTAGGACGTATTGAAGTGTTTTCATACTTACCTAAATAATTTTTAAACGGTCCATTATTTTTGTTATTTTATTGTCGAACAAATTAAAACTAATCCTTAAGAAGTTATGTACAAAAGATGGTTACAATCCGCTTACCCGTTTCAGAGATCCAGCAAACCCACAAACGTTACTCCAGCAGGATTTCGAATAACTTCGCAGCCGAAGAAAATACAAATACCAAATAAGTTGTAACATTTACCTAGTCCAGATAACTAATTATTTAGCTAAAATTTATTTCAATATTACAATTAAAAAAGAAAATGTCTGGCTGCGGTAACGTTTCAAACGTTACCCCAGCAGGAAATGTTTTTTTGAAATAACTAAAAAAGTTTAAGTGAAACAAATTTAAAAATGTGCTTAACAATTACAGAAGGGGAGCAACTAATTATCTATAAAGTTTAAATGACCATTTTCGACATTATTTTTGCTGGGGTAACGCACACGTCTGAATACACTATTTCAGTATTCGTTACGATGATCCTTACACCCTGTATATATATATAAAACTTAGTTTTTTATATATTAAAGTAAACAGTCATAATATAATTTTATTTAAATATATACGAGTAAATAATAGTAGTTCATTCGTTACACGTTGAAATGATCAATAGTAGGTATACCTTACTCTCGTACTGTAAGCTCTGCTTAGTCCCATTCAATTTGCTTATATTTAATTTACCCCCATTAAACCTCCTTTCTAAGGAGAGGCCTATGTCCAGCAGTGGACTATCAAAGGTTGTTGATGATGAAACAACCTGTATGCATACAGTCTTACAACACACTTTACTTTTAGAATATTATAAAACCAAACATTCCTTTTGAATAAAAATCATTTGATCAATTCTTGGCCAACTTCAAAACACAAAAGAGGAGGTTCTCAATTCGAGAGTATTATTTTTTATAATAATACCTATATCTTTTAATCAAAATTATATTGCACATTAAAAATCATGAGTTGAGAACAAAAAGGTACCTAGGTTACCTATTTTAGATCCGTTGCCCTAAAAGTTGATATCTCTTTAAAAAAAAAACAACCCTGAAAGATCCTTAACTATACCTAATTGTAGAAGTGAGTTAATTAAATCAGTATCGAAATTTAAGTACAAACTTGAACCCTATGAGCAAATGAAAGATAATATACACACACTAAAATTAACTATTTAGAAAAACAAATAGTGTTTAATCTAATCGGTAACGGTTACACCTTGCGCATTCAATAAATACTAAGTGACTACTAATAGAACTGTCGAAAATACAATAAGTAAGTGGACAGATTATCAAGACAAAAAAATTAACTATTTAGAAAAAGAAATAGTTTTTAATCTTATCGCTAACTTATACACCTTACCAATTCGATAAACACTAAGAGACTACTAATCGAACTGTCGAAAAGACGACAAATAAGTGGACAGATTAGTAAGACAAAAAACACTAACAAAGATAAATAGGCGCGTTTTATAATACACAAAGAAAAATAAATATAATACAGATAGTGCGTATACATCTTGTCCTCACATTTGTTCTAAAATAACGATAGTTCGTGGGTAAATCATATTTGACTGATAGAAAAATCAAATACGCATAAAGTAGAATTTATTAAAAGCAGTACATTTTTATTCGGGTCAAACCTTCGAGATATGTCATATTAATATTGCAAATTTAACTTTATTGAACCATAGACGATACTCACTGGTGGTGGTATAGAATTAGATAATATACCAACAAAAAGATGAAAAATACCATTATAAGTATTCATAAAAATATATTAATGGTACCATCATTCCGCACATAATAGAGCTAACTCTAAGTAATTAGATCATAGGAATAAAACCATAAAAAAGGCATGGAACTCATTAAATAGTAGAAATTTATTAACTAAACTACATCAAAAACGTTTTTCAAAAAATGTGCAGAATTCCACAAACAGAGATGATGCTACTGTATGTGAATGTCGATTCGAATATTAGACTATCCTGGGATTTATCAATTATATTGTGATTTTAGTCGGTTAAGTATTGCTCAGGCCAAGATCTACAAAACCTTTAGAAAAAATAATATTACACTCTGGTACAACGTGACCTTCTGCTGTCAGTATACCTTTCGAAAATAGCAGATGAATCAAGTAAGAAAAAGTTCCTAATGATTGCATTTTCTTTAGCTACAAAAATCTAACATCAATGAGTAATTTCTAATACACAGCGATATACAATAATTCTGCCTCATTTAAGATTGTGTTTAATATTCTGAGACATCATACTCAATATCTACTTCTTCCCCATCCAGTTGTACAGATTGAAAGTCTACTTTGTAACGCAAAAGACCTCCGATGCCGCCAAAACCATGCACAAATTGGTTGCCTTCATTGGTCTTCTCCGTTACTATCGTCAATTTAGCACCGTAATTCTTGTAATTATTTGCTAACCAATCTAGAAGTGCCTCCCTGTCCACTTGATCAAGTTCTACTCCATTAGCTTTCTCTTTCAGATAGTCCTTGTCCGCTCCCTGCTCAGCGGTCACGTGCATTATTATTTCCTCGTCGGTGGTAAGAGACTTCATTACGTATCTTTGAATATCTAGGTTCTCCCAACAGATAAGTGTTTCTATTACACCTTGTTCTAAAAGGTGTAATGTGTCTTGTACACCAAAACAGTACTTACCAGTATCTTGCGAGACCTCCTCGAAGTACTTGTTAAGAAGTTTTTTCTCTTGTACAAACTTCACATCTTGTAGCACTTCGGCCGCCTGCTCGATAGCCTGGTTAAAACCTTTTTCAGCGCCATACGATATGTCTACCACCTTGATGACCTTATCACGAAGACGTCCATCTAGCATGTCCGACTGATATAAGCAATGCTTTAATTCACCCGATCCAGCTATAATCATAGATATAATATTCGGTTTATCATGCAAAATAAAAATCTCTCCAGCAGTTTCGGCAACTTTACGAATGTAGTTATGACGCTTCTCCATGCGCTGTCGCGAGAACCTCAGTGCAGACTGGCCACCACGGCCATGTTTTTTCGGTAAGTCTACAGAGTATTTGTAAAGTACTTCGCGTACATTTCCCTCCAACGAACCAAAAAGAACACCATTCCCATCGATTACAATAAATCCAACTTTTTCGTTGGACACTAATAATGTCATTAAAGCTTCCGTGTGGAATTTATTATCGCATAAATAGAGAGAAGTTTTGATAGGTTTGAAAGGCTCGAAATCAACACTGACTTTCTTATTTTTACCATGATCGGCGAGGGCAGTCCCACAGTAAATTACCAATCCGTTAGGTGGCACTTTAGAATATAGCCTTAAGCGCTGCTGCACTGACGATATCGCACCAAGAACAGAAAGCCGGTTGACTCTTGATTTAATATTGGAAGCCGTTCCAAATTCATCAGTAAGCATCTTATTCATCCTCCCAATCTGATATTTGGGCGGAATGATTAAAGATATCATCGATGTTCCATTCCCTCTTGCACTCTCCAGGCTTTTAATAAGTCTTTTTAATTTCCATATCTCCACCTCACGATCATTACTCGAGCTGCTGGATTCACCCATCTTGAACACCAGAAACTTTATTCAAAACTCTTGTTCTACGCGTTAACTCTGCTTGTCAGCGGGCTAGACTGCAATAATATTTGCGCACACTGGTCACGATTTTACACAGTAAATGTACACAACAAGCCTTGCGTATCAGCCAATCACCAAACTGTATTTCAAAATGGGGAAACGTATATATCTGCTTCACTCATATTAATCTTTGTTGAAGATCGAGTGAGGTGTAGTGATGCACTATATTATATTTCTTATACATTTACAGTCCCGAGATACACAGACGCACCTCCTCTCAACTAGGGGCTGAAAAATCAATACTAACCACCCTTGTAGCTGGCGCTGTAAATAGATTACTGGACCATCGTGTTGTATTATTCTAGAAAATTAAATTTTATACCCTGATTAAAATACAGGTACATGTTTATTTTTTAAAAGCTGAGCTGCTTACTTTTGTATGTAAAAAAGGCTTTCTTACTCTAAAGATAAACCCGGTGTTACCACAGTAAACAAGGTAGTTAGTAGCTTTGGAAAATAAATGAAGACAGTAAAGAGCTAACCGAAGTTATTCGAAATAAATTAAAAACTTTTTATAAATTATTTTTTAAATCAAGGGCTAGTTTGTATTAAATTTTTAAACGGCGAATGATATGAAGTACCCTAAAACAACATAAACTATTTACTAAATATAAAAATCGTTGGCGTAAAAAATCATAATTATCAAAAAGAGACGAAACTTAATTGTCTTCATACATCTTCGACTTGTTATTCGTGAGAAAGACCACTAGTTGTACATCATAAATAAAACAAAACACTCAAAAATCGAGTTATTAAACATCATATACAATATTTAAAGATACACAAAAACTGATTAAACAACTAGTTTATATAATAAAAAAAGATAGTCATACATAGTCAGCCACTTTTGAGATGAATAGTTACCTTACGTCAGGAAGTTCTGTTTCATAACAATGTGAATCATTTATTGCACTTCAATCTTTCATAACATTTCCTTCGATTCAGAAACTGGATTCTACAGACTTTGAATGAAACTTGACAAAATTGGGCTAAAAAGAAAGATCTCGATGTAAAGAGTAAGTTTTAGAAATCTGCCCGAATGAGCAAACTTCGGAAAATGCCTTTTTATTGCAAATAACCTTGATAGTCGTGAATCGTCGCCAAATATCACATTTAACTTACGATATAACTTAAACTTAGGTATTATTAGAAACACAAGTAATTTATATAATATATAATAGTTTCCATTGTTATTTACTACAATATAGTACCTAAATCCATACTTCCATTACATATGTGTGTTTGCTTGTTGCGTTTTTAATCCTTAACCACTAAACTGATTTTAAAAATTCTTTCACCTATGGAAAGCTACATTATTAGCAAGAAACATAGGCTACTTTTTAACGCGATAACTATCATAGACGCGTGCGTGTAAAAGCTGGTATAGAATATTTTATTACACACAGAGGTTCAGTCGAAAATAGATCTTATCTCACAGTCAGATGTACAATAAGATTGACCTATAACTGACTGCTATCTCTGATAGACAACAATTACTGGTACACAGAAGTACGAGTGTCGCCAATCAGTTTTTATTTAAGTTTCGTTTAAATCTCTAATACTGGGTCTACCAATAGGGATGACCTGGTTTTGACAGCTCATAGCGGCCATGTTTGATGAATGATCTTTGACGTCTCTTGATATTTGTGTTTAGTAAGGTTTGCCATTTTATCATGTCACGTTTCACTTTAATCCAACGCTTGGAACTACTTTGACAGTGACGAAGGAAACCCTCTTACTGTGAATGGCGAGCGCTATAACTCAATGTTAACCGAATATTTCTGTCCGGAATTTGATGATATTGATGCAGACGACTTTATTTTCAACAAGACGGTGCACCACCTCACATTACTCCAGTGAACATGGAATTATTGCGCGGAAAGTTTGGTGAGTCGTTAATTTCGAGAAATGGACCGATCAGTTGGCCACCAAGATCGTGTGATTTAACACCTTTAGACTATTTTCTTTGAGGTTACGTTAAATCTAAAGTGTACAGCAATAATCCAGCTACTATTCGTGACCTAAAAACCAACATTCGACGAGCCATAGCCGACATACCGGCCGAAATGGTGCACCGCGTCATCGAAAATTGGCGTGAGCGGGTGACCGTCTGCAAAAAGAGCCGCGGCGGTCATTTGGCCGATATATTATTTGTAACATAAATAGCATAAAATTATCTATCAAATAAATCAATCGGATGCTTTTTCATAAAAAAATATGTGTTTTATTTAATTTTTAAACCAGGACGTTCTTATTGGTAGACCCCATACCTACTAAGATATTTACTGTTATGATTTGCTGTAAAAGGCAATTTTAATCTACTGTATTTATTTCGATAAGGAATTGTTCTGTATTGTTCAAAATAGCTTCGTAAATTAGTGTATTCGTTTCGATTGCTCCGCCACGATATCGAAACAGAAAAATTTCGCCAAAAATTGTCAAAATCAAAGGGAATAAACCAAAAATAGGTCAAAGTAGAAATAAAGAATTTATAAGGGTTTTAAGATCTTCGTGGCCGCGCAATCCTCCACATATCGTTCGCGCGGCCACGAAGATCTCAGGAACTACTAAACTTTGGTAGTATTTATTGCTTTCATTAGTTTTGACAAATGAAGATCTTTCTTCTTGTAAAAGTTTTTGACAAATTTAGTCTTCAATTGATAAAAATAATTAGATATCTAACTTAAGTAGTTGCTGAGATCTCAGTTGCCGTGCAGTCCTCCACGTTTCGTTCGCGTGGCCAACTTAAAACCCTTATAACATCTTTATGTCTACTTTGATACATTTTTGGTTTGTCTGTTCGATTTTGATAAATTTAGACAAATTTTTGGCTATGTCTTTTTTCTGGTTCTATATCGTGGCGGAGCAATCAAATCGCACACGTAAATTACCCATTATTTTTTGTAATACGTAAAAAGATAAAAATGGTTACTGTGGGTTATCATTAGGAGATAGACATATATATACCGTCGCGGACTTTTTTTAGATTTTTTTAAGATGTAAAATTCTGTAGTACATTATTTTAATCTATCTCGCAAGAATTGCAAAGTAAGCGCACAAAAACATGTTTATTAGGACAAATCTTTGAAAATCTCTGATTTTCTCTACTATAATATGCATGTATTATACATATAAACCTTCCTCTTGAATCACTCTCTGTATTGGTGGAACCACATTAAAATCCTTTGCTTTTATGTTATACTATGTATGGCAGCAGGGATGGAAGTATGGATATGTAAAGTATGAATATTACATCTGTTTGATATGTTGGTTCAATAGTGTATGCAAACTATTGACAAACACACTCAAACACAAGTAAAAATATTTTATCATAATCAATTCAGCCGTTTAAACACAAAAAGACAAAATGCGTATTTTAATGGCCTGATTGGAAGATCTTGCCTAAAGTTTTTCTTTGTTATGAAAACACGTAAAAGCGTACTGCCGAGCTTAATTTCTTCAATCTAAAAAATTACTTACCCTGAATGACCATGAATGAATGGTCATTCAGGGTAAGTAAGTAACGCAACGTCTAAACCGCTGGTGGCTACAAACTTGTAATTTTAGCAGCTGATGCTGTTCTATTTTGTAAGCATCCGAAAAAAAGGATTTTTGGAAATTTCACCCCTAAGGGAGCAAATTCAAAATTTAAGGGATGAATAGCTATAGTCCATCAACGTCGTGCGCGACCGTCCTGCGGGGTGACAGACGGTGGCGGGGACGAGGTACTCAACACTTCTCTTCGTGTGTAGCCGTGTGCTAGAATGACGCGCTACCTCGCCCCCGCCACTGTCTGTCACCCCGCGGAACGGTCGCGCACGAGATTGCCGGGTTATAGTACATCAGATTTTTGACCTCTTCTACCGACGGACTTAATTACACACCGGATTCTATAACTATGGATATACAATAATACAATTATCTACAGTACTTCATCAATCATCATCATCAACAGCCTATACTAGTCCACTGCTGGACATAGGCCTCTCCTTAGAAAGGAGTATACAGTACTTAAGTACACAAAATTTTTTGCGCTTGTTAATGTATATAACAAGCGCAAAAATTAATTATTCTTTCTAAGGAGAGGTCTATGTCCAGCAGTGGACTAGTATAGGCTGTTGATGTGTGATGATGATGAATATATATAAAAATTGCCAACTGTTTTGTCTTCCTTTTAGGTTGTTGAAGAAGACCGCAAGAGATTGCAGGCTGATGTAGATCTGGCCGCAGCGCGATTAATGCGTGCTGGACGCCTAACTCAAGCCCTCGCTGACGAGAGGACAAGATGGGAAGATTCTGTCTCGGTAACGCACTTCCTTCTTATTTAGCCTTGCGGTCAAAACTCTTATGGTAAAAATAAAAGCCTTCTTTAAAGTTAGTCACACTTAAAAATTACCAAACGTAACAATCAACATAGTTCACATTTATGCGATAATAACTATCGGTAGCATTCACGAGTATTGTTGTTAAACCCACTTAGGGTGTTGAATAAAATAATTAACGCTCTAAAACACAAAACAATTAAGAACAGACTCGTATCTTTCATCTTACAGTTGGCGACTAGGCAACTCCACTGTACCACAGGAGATATCATAATCGCATCTGGTTGCATAGCTTACTTTGGTGCATTCCCTTCACACTATCGACGAGAACTAGAAACCAAGTGGGTTCAGGAATGTACCTCGTTGGAGATACCGGCTTCAGATACTTTCGAGTGAGTGGGCCAGTTCTGTTGGTATAAGGATAAGACAGTTCAAAAATAGAATAAAAACATTTTTTGCGAAGTTAGTAAATCGTTTAATAAGGGCCAAATTCAGCCTTCCCATCAGTAAAGTACACCACGCTAGAAAAACAGCAGATCGGTCTAATATAGAATTTAACTGAGTTAATACTATTGCTCGACTTCTCACACCCCACCCAGCTCATCCCTCCAACGAATCTCAATACCATAATTCTAATTGTCAAAAGACAAATTGACAAAGGTAGGCATAAATGAGACTTTACGGCCTTACATATCTCATGGTAGGGATTAGTTTTATATTTATTTGGCTGGTAACAACAATTACAGTTTTAATTACCAGATTTTTAGAACTTTGCGTTCAAAAGTTATTTAAATTTGTAGTTTGCATACCTATAAGCTGTACTGAAGTCGATACCAATGAAAGCTGGCTGTCACAAATGAGTTGTCATTGCTATCAACAAGTTAACATAGATCTTTCAAACTCATACGTTTCTGATTTTTTTGATCTGTCAATAAAATGACGCCCTGTCAATTCAGTTTAATTACCTTTTTTACATTGTGTTCACGAATAATCTAATCGATTTGAATGAAAGTTATTAATACCTTCCCTTAAATTAATTCATTTAAAATAATCATTGCTTTATTACTTCGTCTAATCTATACAGTCAGCATTATTAATACAGAAATATTTTTTATTTGCCAAATACACTATTCATTAATCAATAATCATTTAATAATCTCGATGTAAAGATATAGTATTTTAAGTAATTTATATATTATGCATGACAAGTTTAGACAACGTAGGAATGCGTTTTGTTTACAATAATATAATAGACTAGCTGAGACCCGCGGTGTTACCCGCGTTTGTTGTTATAACCGCGGGCAACGCAGCGGGGCGAAGCTAGTCTAAAAAAAGTAGCCTAAGTTACTCCTTATGTCATCAGCTATCTGCCAGTGAAAGTCCCGACGAAATTGGTCCAGCCGTTCCAGAGATTACCAGACAGACAGACAGACAGACAGATAGACAGACAGACAAAAATTGAAAAAAATGCTATTTAGACATATGTACCGTGTAAACGTACATATACATTTAGTAAAAAGCGGTTATTTTAATATTACAAACAGACACTCCAATTTTATTTATTTGTATAGAAGTCAAATAACCATACACCTCATCATATTCCTTTAGTAGAGTTTACATAACTAATGAAAATAAGAGCCACTCATACCTATAGTGTAAATACTACTACCAAGTCTAGCCTATAAAAATATAGGTGCAAACATTATATTCAATCCAATCATATATCCTGCAATTTTAACCAAAGAGGAAAATAAGCCGTACCCGATTTTTAAAGTATGTTACGTTATTATTGCCCTCTAATTTATAAACTATACTATTTTAACTACACTATTGTGTATCTTCTGATTTCCAACGACCACATAACATGCAATATTACTTTATAAAGATCTGTCACACTTTACAATTGTATTATAGGTACTCATAGATATATCTTTAATGCATGTTGCTATGCAACAGTTAATTTCCCCATCCTCATCCCCTGACTGCGCCGCCTGGCTGTATGTGTGCGTTTAATCTGTCACATACATCGAAACACCGAGTCCTCCGAACTCTCAACAACACTGCGGGTCCCTGCCGCCCCTGCTCTCTCCTCACCCCCGCGTCGCCTACCCCCCCGCGTTCTCTATACCCCCGTGCGTTCTCTACACCCCCGCGCTCGGTACAGCCCCCCGCTCTTCGCACCCCTTTTCCCTTCGCTGCACGCCCCTGTAACTCTTGCTCTAGTGACCGATATTCCAATTATGCAACTTTGCTGACGTCAATACATATAGGAAACAAAATCACGACAGTACCGTTAATATCACTAGAACTAACATGCTCTATATGCTTCAAATTAGTAATATTTAAAGTGAAATAGACACTCTTATATTCTAATATTTAGGCTTATGGGCAAGACCCCCGTTATATGCACCTTAGTGGAAGCTTACTACATTTAATTATGAAAAACAACTTTTTTGTTTTTAATAGTATCTTATTTAACTCATATAAATACTTTTACTCTGATATACCTCCCTATTTTGTCGGAACAAGGCTTCTATCTTAAAATGTAAAGTCGCGCCCAGCATAGATATTTTCTATGCATTTACTGGTCAATATTGTAATTAATATTTTTCAAATATGAAAAGGACTATATTGTGTAAGGTACGGTCTCGACCTTAAGAGGATTATCTTTCCTACTCCTATGTAGCCTTTCAGCTTCTTCATAATTTTTATTTACAAAATATATATGTATGTATAATTAACTTTTTGGAATTGTTCTCAGTTTGATAACAGTGATGGCAGACTCCTATACGGTTCGAACGTGGAATGCCCAAGGCCTCCCCCGTGATTCAGTATCTACGGAAAACGGTATTCTGGTAACAAGGGCCGGACGATGGCCACTCACCATAGATCCTCAAGAACAGGTGATACATAAGATATATCTAGATATACCATAAACAATGCGGCTACAGGACAAACTTTATTAAATTATTATTTTTTTATTTGGAACCGGGCATGGCTTCAGTCATGCAAGCTACTTTAAGCTTTAATTTAAATTAAGATTTGAGGATTCAAGAAGTCGGCTCAAATAATAAAACTAGATTTCAGCTCTCAAGAGAAGCTTAAGATGAGTGGTGGACTCCGATGTACTAATGAATCGACCAAAGTCTTGACTACGTTTCTGATCAAGTGCAATGGGGTAGATGGTGGTCAAATCAAATCAGTATATTTTATTAAATGTCAAAACAATACCCGCTTAGATTTTATATGGCGTGAATTCATATCTAGCATTGTCAAATCTTTTATATTCAATGTTGATTTTAATATATAACATTAATTTGATATTGGAGGACAATTCAAGGTGTACTTTAAGATGTTTCATTTAATGATGCAGGCGAAATAATTGATTTTAAACCTAGGCATCTACCATATTATTCGCTATTATATTTATATGTATTATTATTGTGTTCTTATAGTCCTCTGTCAATATGCTTTGGCCCCTTGCCTTCCGCATGCAACCCATTCCAGATACTTTTATAGGTGGTCAGTCATTGGACGGCGTTCTACTATTAGTATTGCTGGATATAGGCCTTTTTGATAGACTTATTGACTACCATAAGCTATTTTGACTGATTAAGTATAAAATCTCCGAATGTGTGGATTCATTCAAAAGTACATTAAAATGTGATTTTAATTTAATTAACGATTTCGAACATACGAAATTACCTAAAAAATACCATTACCATTACCTAAAATTACCATTTAAATACACATTGTAAGCTTTAAAATGGCTTTAACATTGCTGTTTTTGCTCCAAAGTAAAAGGACTAAACTGTTATATGGATGTATCATCTCAAAGTGTTTACTATAAAGATAAGGCGTAGTATATATCATTTAAATATCTTTTGGAACTCTTATTACTTTCTTACACCTGAGACAAGTTTACCGAATATTGCTTAACTATAATGTAATATTCTCACACGTTGCACACACGACCGTCTGATCCCAAACTAGACAGAGCAACAACAGAGATTAATTAACATGTTTAGATCTTATGGATTTAGCGGTATCTATATATAATTAGGCTGATGATAATAAAGCATATATAATTATACATAGCATATACGCTTCAAAATCTCAAAAGTTCTGCACTTTTTGAGCTCAAATTTTGATGCAATATGCAACCTGCTTCTGCTGCACATATTAATCTTACGTTCGTTAACATGCTTTCGCCACATTCAGTTTCTTTCTACTAAAAGATAATAATTTGTACCACAGGCTAACAGGTGGATAAAAAACATGGAAAGAGAAAATGGATTGATGATCACAAAGCTCAACGATCATAGTTTTCTACGAGTGTTGGAAAATTGTATTCGTCTAGGTTGGCCTATGCTCATAGAAGACCTGGGAGAGACCCTTGAAGCTACTTTGGCCCCGGTACTACTAAAACAAACGTTCTTGCAGGTAAAGCAAAACAAATGTGGAGCTCTAGTAGGTAATTTGAGTTAATATAGGAGGCGCATACGTCGAATCACAAACATCTATTACTTATATTTGAACATTTTAGCACAATAGAATAATATAATTTATAATAACATAAACGTACATACGGTAGTTTTATTTTATATAAGTATATCTCTCCTTCTAATTTGCTTTAAAAATTAGTCAGAAAATCGGTAATAATTAAAACAAGGTAATGTTGCAACATATTCACTTCTTTAGGCTGGCAGACTTCTTATTCGTCTTGGAGACAGCGACATAGAGTATGATACGAACTTCCGACTGTACTTAACAACCAAGCTCGCTAACCCCCATTACCTACCAGAAATTTGTATTCAAGTAACTCTGGTCAACTTTACCGTCACCCTATCGGGCCTTGAGGATCAATTACTGGCGTAAGTATAATTTCGTATGAACTCTTTCAAGCTACTTGGTTATTATATTAAAGTTTATTATATTATAAAGCGTATCTTTTTGGTATTCATATTCAATTTTATTTAATCACGTCTACAATGGTGTATATAATTAATTACTACATTTTTATGATTTCTCACAACAGAGATGTAGTGAGATTGGAACGTCCGGACTTAGAAGTATTACGTTCCGAGCTAATTGTAAGGATAAATACTGATAAGGCGACGCTACTCGAGATTGAAGATAAAATTCTAAGACTGTTGTACGCTTCTACTGGAAACATTTTAGATGACGAGGAGCTTATAGAAACACTAACGAAAGTAAAGTATGTTGAAGTTAGATCTAATGCTTGGTAGCTAGAACTAGCTAGAAGATGACTCAAGAGAGAGTTTATATTTATCTATTTTTTTTTGTTGTCGGGCCCACGTCTAAATTACTATTTGCCTACCCCGTTGTAGAAACAACTGCGAGTGTAGACTCATTGCTGTTTCAACCACAGGGTAGGCAAAACCACCTACATTTTTTTTTTCTAATATAATTTAATTTACTAATCTACAACATAACAAAGCTCCAGTAGCCATAAAAGCGAATGGAACTCCTTACAACGGCATACCTCACGTCTGGTAATATAATGGTATTGCAAAAAAGCTAAGGTAGAATTCACCTCTACTGGCTTTATACCAAAACTTTTATCTACTAACGTAACGTAACTTGTACATCACTTCTACAATAAGTTGCTGCATTATATTAGGTAGGTATATGTCCTTTTCTAAGAATCAAGTGGGGTAACAGTTTCAGGTTTATATACAATGTGTTCAGTCGACAAGTGATCAAACACAAGCTCTCAGGAAAACCCTATAAAATTTTCCCCTTTCCGGGACTCCTTATATACACAGCTACCTGGTAGTAAAATATTATCAAAATCAGTACAGACGCTTTGAAGATTACCCGGAACAAACAGACAGACAGAAAAAAAACATTTAAACTGGTTTTTAGACATAGATATCGTGAAAATAACTTTGTTTTGACATTACAAAACAGACCAAATTTTATTTAGTTTTTATAGATGTGATATTTTTCATTCAATTAGCGTATTTTTTGTTGAGAAGCCCAAAGTCTATCTAAGTGGCGTGCAATGGGAGAGGCCTATGTCCAGCAGTGGACTGCGATATGCTGATGATGATGATGATGAAGTATTTTATATAATACACACGTGAAACTTTGCCAGAACTCTTTTATAAGTATACTATTTATTTTCATACATAGAGGGAGAGTGACACTATTATTCAGATTCTTTTTATAATTATTTAAAATAAATTGACCGAATCTTGATTGAACCAAATGCTTTGTGTTATACGTTTTTATTCTAGTAAAATTCTAACAATATGGGGTCTACCAATAAGAACGTCCTGGTTTAAAAATTGAATAAAACACACAATTTTTTATGCAAAATGCAACCGATTGATTATTTGATAGATAATTTTATGCAATTTATGTTTTAAATAATATATCGGCCAAATGACCGCCGCGGCTCTTTTTGCAGACGGTCACCCGCTCACGCCAATTTTGATGACGCGGTGCACCATTTCGGCCGGTATGTCGGCTATGGCTATGGACGAATGTTGGTTTTTAGGTCACGAATTGTAGCTGGATTATTGCTGTACACTTTAGATTTACTAACCCCAAAGAAAATAGTCTAAAGGTGTTAAATCACACGATCTTGGTGGCCAACTGATCGGTCCATTTCTCGAAATTAACGAGTCACCAAACTTTCCACGCAATAATTCATGTTCATTCGAGTAATGTGAGGTGGTTGCACCGTCTTGTTAAAAATAAAGGTCGTCTGCATCAATATCATCAAATTCCGGAAAGAAATATTCGGTTAACATCGAGTTATAGCGCTCGCCATTCACAGTAACAGGGTTTCCTTCGTCACTTTCAAAGAAGTACGGACCAATGATTCCAACGTACCATAAACCGCACCAAACTGTTATTTTTTGCGGATGCTATGGTGATTCATGAACCACACGTGGATTGGACTCACTCCAATAGCGACAATTTTGTTTATTAACAAATCCATTGAGCCAGAAATGGGCCTCATCTGAGAAGATGATTTTACGATGAAAATCGTCATCGGCTTCCATCATTTCCAGTGCATAATCGGCAAATTCACGACGGATACAATGGTCGGATGGCTTCAATTCTTGTGCCAAAACAATTTTGTATGGGTGTAGGCCCAAATCCAACCGCAAAATACGCCAGGTGGTCATTGGAGAGAGCCCCAGACTCTTGTGAACGGCGTTGAACTGATCGATTTGAATTCGCATCAACACTGGCCTGAACGGCTGCGATATTACTCTTCACTACGGGCATTTCTTTGTCTCACAGGCACAGCAGTATCGTGGAGAGTGAATTCACTTTCAAATTTTGTTATTATGCGATTTATAGCGCGCACAAAAGGAGCACTATGACGACCGTTTTTTTGCGTGAAGCGCTCTTACTGTAGCGGTAGGAGAACGCGAATTTGCGTAATAATTTTAGACAATTTTAAAGCGTTAGTTTAAAGTGAAATGTGACATGATAAAATGGCAACCTTACTGAACACAAATGTCAAGAGACGTCAAAGATCTATCATCAAACATGGCTGCTATGAGCTGTCAAAACCAGGTCATCCCTATTGGTAGACCCAGTATACCGGTGGGCATGTAATAATATCACTACAGGAAAATAACAGTTCCTTAATGTCAAGGGAGCGTCGGTTAATACATATTTGATTTGTCAGGAAACTTCGGAAATAATTAATGCTCGACTAGAGGAAACTGAGGCTACAGAAGTGAGTATATCGGCGGCCCGAGAGAAATACCGTACCGTCGCTACAAGGGGAGCTGTATTGTATTTCGCTGTAGCTCAACTTGCAGATATTGATCCTATGTACCAGTTCTCGCTGAAGTATTTTAATCAGGTAAAAATAAAAGTGATATTGTAATGAGATACTTACTACTAGGAATAATTAACTTGCAAGACAACTAGTTAAGTAAGAAATTTTATGTGGAGCATAAAGAGACTAAAAAGTATTTAGTATACAAGCGCACAGTCCAGTGAAGATTCAAAAGGCATCGCACGCGCAGCAGATCAAAACAACACAAAAATAATTGTTTTGTGTTATTTATTTAAGAACTGTCAACACCTAATTTGATATGACTAGACTAACTAAGACTTTTTATCAAAACTTGCATCGTAAAAGTAATAATGGATGTTTATCATTCAATTTCAAAATACTCGCTGACCAATTTTGTCTTCAAGAGCCTTTTTAAGTACATACACTAACCCCCTTTTGTCCCTAAAGACATAGGCGTAAGACTATAATTTTAGTGCCACTTAGTTTTAATAGGAGCAAGCCTTTTGCCGATAACCGGGCACATAACTTCTAAATAAACATACTTTATATGTATAGACACATTTCTAAATGTGTCCATCCAGACACAATAAATGATCATGACAAATTATTTCTTTTTTTTAAACGACAACTTCCGCATTAGAAAAATATCCGGTGTCGCGGGGGCTTTACAAAGATACATGAAACGGACACAAAGAACACCCAGGACTCAGTACAACAAGTTGTGGATCACACAAAGTGTGGTCCCATGTGGGGTTCGAACTCACAACACCTCGGCGTAGTAGGAAGCGGCGTAGCGACCGCTTAAACCACTACGCCATCCGTGTAGTCATTTGTCCTGGGTGAGAATCTAACCCACGACTAAACTGTCAAGTTCGTTAACCACTAGACGTGTAAGCGTCGTCGACACAGTTTTTTACCCTCAGGATTTTGAACACGTACATTAAAGAGTGGGGACAAAAAATGCCAGTTACTTGGTTATTTTAAAACTGAAAGGAATTTTAAGTAGAAGCAATGTCCCCTTGGTCAGTGACCGTATCAATAAATTTCGTGTAATTTAAATAACGCAATATCTAACTCAAACAAATGATTTGATATAATGACTAATCGTTATTAATTTTAATGTTGTAATTGATTTAAATCTTGATATTCTCTCAGTTAAAGTATGCGCGTGTTATCACTAGATAAGATCAGTGAGTTAATAATATCCGTCTCATAAAAAATAAATGTTCAAAGGCACACTTGACAAAGGGTCTGAACATTTTTGCGTCTAACCTTGAATGACTAGAAATAGCAACCTTTGTTGGATACATATCGATTGCAACCTTTCTTTAAAACTTTTTCTTTGTATCTAAGCACGTTAGTGGAACAAAAATACTGAAGGAAAATTCACCCGGGACTTTTCACCTCAACCGCCTTGCTCTACTGCTACTTGCATGCAACCATTTATTTTTATTAGAAAATACATAGGTTATAGGTACATTATAAGCTACCCTAGCTTATAATGTACCTATAATACAGGTTGGCCCGGGAACGGGCCAGGTACCGCAGGCGACTCAGGCGCCGGAGGTCGCAGAACGACCTCCGTCCTCTATAAGCGCAGGCCTGGGGGGTGACAGGTGAGGCCATCTGTCACCCTAGCAGAAGCAAGCCGGGATGGCGGCGAGCGCGTTGCTAAGCGCGCTCGCCGCCAAAGGGGGCGGGGGGGTCGTCCTACTCGTCTGTAGATGACCCGAGGTATGTCGGGGCACCAAGGGACTTCCTTTCTAGGGTATACCTGGTTCCCCGGCTATTAGTACCCGAGACGGCGTGCGGTTTTAGTCGGTTCGAGTCCGACATGCCACAGATAGGTGGTATCCGAGGGGAATTCCGCACGGAAAAAAAAAAAATAGTGTAATACAGCTTTGTTCTCTCGTTTCTGCACCAACTACTGCCAGGTTTGGCCTTAATGAAATTACACCATTTATTTATTGTATATAGTATGTGCATCTCTATTCATATTTTTTAAATAAAATAATAAATTGTGATCGTATCTCAGGTGTTCAATCTCGTAATAGAAAAAGCGGAAAAGACTGAAATGACTCTAGAAGCTCGATTGGAATTGTTGCGGAGTGCAATCACATTGTCTGTGTACCAGAACGTATCTAGAGGACTCTTTGAAAAACACAAGCTAGTTTTCAGCTTCCTTTTAAACATGGCCATGTTTTTACATGCAGGATTAGTTAAAACCGAACAGTTTAATTTTATATTACGAGGAGCATCCGGCACTAAAGTGGTAAATATAAAAAACAATTCTACATTCCAAACGTGGTTGATAGTAGTGGTAGTAAGTTGGCCTAGAGCTATTTTCCCTGCATATCAATAAATATAATTCCTATTCAAAAACTAAACAACACGCTTCTAATATTCAAAGAGAGAACACCCTATCACTTACTAACAAACGCAAATATTTAAGATGAAACCTAATGGATCTAGTTCCTTCTATTAAGATTTATTTTTGTATGCTTATATAACTGAAACAAAAATGTTAATTTATGTACTTTTATTATCCTGTTGCTATATGCAGTTTAAGCAGTTGCTAACTTTCAAAGTATTAATGAAAACTGACAGTCTCTTTTGGTCTAATTTAAATTAATTTTTACTAAGTCCGACCGTGTCCCTGTGGTAACGGATTAAGAATATAGTGTTAGCACCCCTATTCATCCCGTGGGTGCCGTAAGAGCCATCTAAGGAAACAAACTACGCAGTACAGCAAAGAAAAGGAAAACTTAAAACAAACCCCATACTGACAGGTTTGGTGGCTAAAGGTAAAGGCTGTTGATGATGATAAAATCCGACCCTGGTGCGGAATAAGATCAGACATTTTCTCTGTATCTAGTGTCTAAACAAATAACTTACTAATTTATTGTTACGTGTTGTGTAGGTACCACGAAAGAAACCGCAAATCGAAGCTATGACCGATATAATGTGGTTAAACATCAGCCACTTAGACGAAACTGATCCCGACTTCCAAGGGCTTCTAAATGACTGTATGAGGAAAGTTCCGGTTTCTATTGGTTCTTTCGATTTGGTAAGTCCATAATTATAAAGCCGTGTTTTCACCGCCGAAGGGTTAGGTTAGGTTAGGGCTGGTCCTTTTCGCTCGACTATTTATTGGTAGGAATACAAGTACCAGTTTACTCTTGCAAGTTAAACGGAGACCTTAACGGGTCCATTTCACTGTCGGTAAAAACCGGTATTAATAGATTATTAGAAAAACCTAATTTGAATCTGAACGTTCACTTAGCCTCCTGCCGGTTTCTGTTGTTGTTGTTGTCTAAGATCCAGTTGTAAGATTGCTACATGCATCGAGTAATTAATCAAATCAAATTTTAATATACAATTATAAAATCGTCAATATGTTTTGACCCGGCTGCCTATTAAAATGTGCCTGTGAGTATTTTAAATTAAATTAATATAGCCTACTTGACTTTTTGGAAAAAAATACGAATTGTTAACCAATTTTTATAGTTTTCAAATAGTTAGTTTTTTGCTAAGAAAAATATATACTATCTTATATTCCCAATAGTTCAATCGCAGTTATACGCCTACTGCGTATAGCTGAACTAGATACAATAAAAATCTTAATTCAAATGACATTTTCATAGAAGATTTTTAAGTAGCCAATACATTACTTGTTGAATCAAGCAAATGAAAAGCATCTAGGCTTTCTTGATATGTATAGCTTAATCATCTTAGTTTCAAATTCTTTTTTAGATTAGCCTTTTTTTTTTAAACATGGCTGGTTTTTAACTTAAGCGACTATATTCGACAGCTATTAGTTGTAACGTAATGTTATATAGCCTTCTTCAATAAATGGGGTATCTATCACTAAATGATTTTATCAATTCGAACCAGTATTTACTCAGCTTTATAATATTAGTATAGATGTGTAGGTGAATCCGGACTAAATCACATCATTAAGCACATTTTGCCGATTTTCATTCTAACCTAACAACTTAAGTTACTCCTTAAAGTAGATTCTGAGCATAGGCTGTATATAGATATAACTTAACGCGAAGTAGCAGGTACATACATAGTGAAAACGAAAAAAAGGGTTATGTACTAATCGCTTTCTTATTAATTATTTATTATTCGCAAGTTTTCGCACAGCTCACGTGGCACAGCTTCGCACAGCTATCACGTACCCATACCCACGCACACACAGCTGATATGGACAAGACACAATATTGCAGCTTAGGGCTGGCCGCTCATCATTCAACTAAACTAAAATAATAACACATTAATTTTAATACAAGTAATTACACTGGTCCACATCAATTACTGTATATAGACCTTAAAATTAATATGCAACATTTTATGTAACAGTTGGTAGTATGATAGAATTTTGTGGTTCATGTGTTTATTCCTTATAACATATTGAACATAAACATAAACACCAAACATTGTTCGGCCTACAAAAGTAAAATGTAGGACTGTTATTTATTGTGTGGGAACAATAATTGTTCTCGGTCATTACATGTCGAACACAAAACAACACAGTGTCCTGAAAAAATAAACGTAAAGCCAAGTTCCTAAACAAACTCTTCGGCACCAGAAAAGATTCTTAAGGACAAAAGATTTAACCCCGCTGTTTACAGAAATCTGACCCTGTAAAGGTAAGGTATACCTAAGTATTCACTTCCTTTACCCTCGTCGTGATTTTTCACCAATAAATTAGGTTTAGTGCTTAGGTAAACACAGTGAACAATTCCAGCCAAATGTAACGTGTGAACGAACTGCTTGCGGAGCTTCAGTAGAATAACGCCAGAAAATAATCACAAATCACAAGCAAAAAAGGATTGTTCCTTAAAAGAACAAAAACGACCTTACCTTATTACACCAGTCTATTCCAGTAGTTATTTTAATAACAGTTAACAAAAATAAAACACTGTATATATGTAATAAAAGTTAATAAAACACTGTATCTATAGTCCATCTATATCTTTTTTTTTTGTATTTGTATATATACGAGTAGTCAGTGTATTTGTGTCAGTAAATTCATATAAAAAAAATTATAAGGCACACGGAACTTTACCTCTATAGGCCATTCACACATTCATGTGACGATAACGTACGTCAGTAATCAATGTTAGGTTTTTCATTTCTGATAAAAATATATTTCTCTTTTTATTTCAGGATATTCATATCGACCCCACTGATAAACAACCACCTTTAACAAACTGGAATGAAAAACTGAATTCATTTGAAAAGTTGATGCTTATAAAGTGCCTTAAAGAAGAAAAATTAGTATTTGCTATTGCGCAGTATGTCGCTATTACACTGGGCCCCGTATTTATAGAAAGTCCCACAGTACAGTTGAACACCCTGTAAGTACACCAATTCGCCTCATTCAAAACTGCGCATATTTAATAATAATATTTTTTTTATATATATTATACTGCGCATATTTAATAATAATTATATCAAAGATTAAAGTTTCTGACAATAAAAGACAAAAGATTGGTAGCCTGAAGCTATCGGCAACGGAAGCCCATTGGCCTTCTAACGTGATTTCGCTCCAATGGAATCATTACTTCCTACCTCATGAACATAATAACCAAACATATTCACATTAAATAAAAAGGAATTGTTAAATTAAAAACAGTTGCTTGTATTTAATGATTATATATTTATACATATAATAAAGACACTCACACAAATCCATTATTAATATTGACAACACAAATTGTTTTCAACAACAACTGTGATATTCCTATCACATAAAATCATTTTCAATAGAATTTTGATCGTTCCTAATTTGTATTGGACGATAAAGATCCTTATAAAATATTAAATCTATTTTAACTCTACACATTTATAATGTTTAGAAATAAAATTCAACATCAGTAAATTTTGATTGATTAAAACGTGAACTTAACCGAATTGTTATTGTATACTCGTAACACTTTATATAGTACCTACTAACATTGAAACTTTTAGACTGTATATTAATTTTATGGTTTGAGGAGCAACACGTTAATTTAATTAGATAAACATTTAAGACAGATATAGATAGGCCCTTTACAAAAACCCAGATTTCACTAACAAAGAAGTGATTCGTGATGCAAATATTTGTCTCATAAGGGTACACAATAAATTTAGCAGACTTGACTATTAATCACTAACAATTAGTGGCAGTAGGCCTCAGAAAGCTTGAATCAAGATTCAGGTATAATAATTCTTTATAGTTAACATCTCGTGTTTATTTTAAATGCATACGTAAGCGTTTGAAACCATAAATGCACAATTCTTAAACGGAACAATTATACATATTGTAAGATTCGTGACACCAATCTTTGATTTTTCTTCGTTTGTTATCCGAAAGCAAGCCCAATTAGTAGCTTTATATCTCCAAATGCTTTATTATAAAAATGCCTGTGATTATTCGTCAATTTTTTTTGTCATTAATACTTTCAGATAAATTTCGATACCTACACTTCAGTCTACTCCGTTTACATCAACCTTTAAATGCCTACCTCTCTTTAAGCTCGATTGTGGTCCACTTATATATAATATAAAATAATATATATTAATATACAGGTTGTAAGGGACGTGGTAACGAATACTGAAATAGTGTATTCAGACCATTATTCTGAGTCGAAAATCATTGGAATTTTTTGCAGAAAAATTAAACTCTATATGCAATAATCTGTCAAAGACTAAGGCCATTCCCCGTAGGTGTCGCACAAAAGTAATAACTACATGTGTGTTTCGTGCAAACAGTCTAACACAAGTTGGTGGCCAGAGGGGAAGCCCCGCACGCTTCGGCTGTTTTTGTCCGTAAAAAAGCCGGCTACATTGCCTTACATTGCCGTCTGTCCGTTGTACATTGCAGTTTTTGACCGTATGAGGTATTTATTAAATTGTTTTCGGTAAAATGTTCTGTTTACTCGGTCATATCATTTTTAACCAAAAAAAAGAAAAAATATCTAAAAAATTCCAACGATTTTCGATTTAAAATCATGGTCTGAATACTCTACTTCAGTATTCGTTACGACGTCTCTTACACCCTGAATATTGTTATACACATTAAAATGTAGAATTTGTATACATATATCATAGTTTTTATAGCTAAAACAAATATGGTTAGCTAACACAGCCCAAGTAATCATTCACATTTAGTTGATCACATTTAATATTAGATTAAATCCATTCACATGATTAACATTTAGAAAATATTTATATATCAGCGTTCACTAATCTATAATTTAATGTATGCAATATCCGAGTCGTTCACAAAATAATAAGTAGATTATTATCGATAATAATCAATATTTAGATAAAGTAGTCACAAAACATGACACAATTGTAACACAGATCTACACAGATTTAATTTCTGTTAAGTTAAATTACTTCTACCCGCCACCTTATTCTGATTGGTGAGCTTCTTGAGTGCTAGATTACTCTCCCTTCAAGTCTGAATATTTAAGTTGGTAATAAGCAAAATATAAATAATTAGATATGGAATAATGAATGAAAGTGTATCGCCATCATAGAGAAAAAAAACAATGAAACACACTTTAAACAAAAAAACTAAATGGTTAATGAAGGTGAGATAAATATGCTTCTTCATGTTCAATGGCAGTACTGGAACTGCATACTTACTGTATGTCATGGTTAATGATCAGCACCAAATGTACTTAGTACTTGGTGCGTGATGATGACCGCTATACAACAACACTAGGATCCCAAGCATATTTAATTTTGTGGGATCCCAGATCATTTAGAACACGCATATCTTCATTAGGGATGACGAAATTCAAAGCAATATTTTGCCTTATGTGCTTTGGCTCTGTTGACTTTGGAATAACAGACACATCCTGTTGGAGGGCCCATGCCAGCAGCACTTGTGCGTTAGATACTTCTAACTTGTTAGCAATTTTAGTCACAGCTGGATGTCTTAGCAATGCATCATTGTTTGCAGATGTCCCCCCAAGTGAACAATAGGCTTGTAGCAAAATCTCATTCTCTTTGCAAAACTCAAGCAGTTCATTCTGATAATAAAATGGGTGCCATTCCACCTGCAAGTCAAAAAGGTCAAATAATATAATTTTATATTAAGGGCCGGTTATTCAATCTTTAGATAAACAGTTGGATAGCATTTATTCCACAGTTAGCGTAATTTATGATTTTGAAATGGTCAGATAGATGTTATCTGAAGAATAAATGTTAAATCTGAGGAAGAAGTTTATAGCCTTCAGTTTCAAGCCTCAGTTAGTGATATTATCTGTAGAATAGTGATTTTGAACTTTGTGTATTTATTAAAGTTTTCTAATATTTGTTGTAGTAAAGTTTATGTATGTTGCTTTTATTGAGTATTTTAATTTTGCTGAAGTGAATATGTATGTTTTCGGCCCGATTGAGGGTTTAACTATAGAAGATGACCGTCTGCAACTAAACATCTTGTGTCCCGATACAAAAGAAAGATATGACAATACTTTGTGTGATGTTCATCATTAATGCTCGTTTCTTCATTTCTCGAAATTTAATGTTCGTTTCTTAATTGATTCTATTTTATACGAAAGTAACACGAATAATAATAATATTCTGTAGAACATTCACACGCCATCTAGTCCCTAACTAAGTAGAGCTTGTATTATGGGTACTGATATAAATACATATATACCATTTTATATTTTTTTGTAAATATATACATATTATACATGTAGATGTACCCAAATGTTTGGATGGAGCGGGGATCGAACCCGTGACCTTTCGAGTTACAGTCCGTTACACAAACCACTACACCATCGTCCACCGTCAATATAGCCGTAAATAAGGTTATGTCTTATTATCTGACAGACGAGTAATGACACGAAAAGAATGACACAAATGTTGTCTAATAGCTTGTGAACCTTATCTAAACGTGTTACTAACTGTATAGCTGCATCTCGCTTGCGCATGTTTACAGTAAACTTAGCTATGAAAGACCCTCAAGTAACTATCTGTCAGTTTACATCTGATTTAAGAACAGAAAAAGACTGTTACAAGTTAGTTCTCTACCAGTATAACAGAAAATTGAAAAACCGGTCCTTAATTAAATATATTTATATAAAATGTGTGTATATATACTACCTGATTAACAGCAGGTATAACACCATGATTACATTTCATCAGTTGTTGCAAGTGTTTAACTGTATAGTTTGATACTCCTATGGCATTTACCAAACCATTGTCATACAGTTCAACAAGGCTGGCCCAAGTTGTGTTCCGGATCTCTATATTGCGTTTGTCGTCGCATGATAATTTGGCCGTGCCAGGGAAATGTATCAGGTAGAGATCTACATAGTCCAATCCCAAATTATCCAAGGAGTGTTTATAACCTTTTTTAACCACTTCAATTCCACCATGATCAGAAGGAGCTGTAAATGTCAACGGAGAAAGAAATAAAAACATTTTCCCAAAATTTCTTTGAAATAATGTTTTAACGTCTAAGAAGCAATATGTCGAGACACTATCTAGGACTCAATTGGTCCATGACTCAATTCGTCCAAGACTCATTTTTTCCAACACTTAATTTTTCTGAACCCCAATTTGTTCAAGAATCAATTTGTCCGAGACCCGATTCGATCCCATTTGCAGTCCCTCCAACATGCAGTTCATCCAACATCCAATCAAAGATAAAGAATGTCCAATATATGTTTACAGAAAATTTTGTATTGTAATGTTTAGAATTTAAGTCAGCCGAAATGTGAATGCTAAGATGGATGTGTGGTGTGACACCGATGGACAAGGTTAGAAATGAGTATATACGAGGGAGTCTGAAAGTAGCGAAACTGGATAAAAAGTTAAGAAGTAATAGGTTATTTTGGTATGGACATGTCATGCAGAGGGATGAGGAAAACGTGACCAAGAAAGTGTTAGGTATGGGCGGGTACAACAGAAGAGAAAGGCCAAAGAAAAGGTGTGACTGTGTGAGTGAGGATATGGTTAGGAAGAGAGTAAACAGTGAGATAAAGAATGATAAAGTAGAATGGAAGAATCAGACTGCCTCATTGGTACACTAGGTAGTGTATGCAACTGCTGAGCTGAGGTCTTGGGTTCGATTCCCGGGCCAGATCAAATGTTTGTATGATCTGCAAATATTTATATGTATTTACGAAAAAAAAGTATATAATAATCTAGCTTTTGTAGTACAAGCTCTGCTTAGTTTGAAACTAGATAGTGTTGTGTACGAGATGTCTGAAATATTTATTTATTTATAATTATACTTACTGTGCCAACCCAAAATATAATTGGGATAACAGTGGACAGATGATTTATAAAAAAATATTACTATTTTTAGTTTAATGTTACTGTGTAAGTCTTAAGTCTTTATTAAACCAAAAGAAAAAATTTAATAATAATTGAAATATGCCACCTACCAATTTAAAATGGAAACATAAAATGTTGCCATTTGAGTCTATGATGGATTGCTTTTTAGTAGCATTGCATCTTGGACAAACTGGACTATTGCATGTTGGATGCAGTATTATAATTTCTATTTGAACAGATTGAGTTAGGATAGTCCTAATATCCTGATAATTTATGTTCAAAATACCTACTCTGACACTCTCTTGAACACACTTTTGTAAATTGCTAGTCACAAGAAATCCAATTTTTTTCTTTTTTTCTATCGTTTGGAAATCCTCACAGATCATCACCTTCGGTGGGCTCACGGATAGTGGTATGTCAGATATAAATCAACTAACTGACTGACCAAACATGATGTTCTGACCCTGATGTGTCTATTGCAAACTTATATTTATTATTTGGGTATAAACTAGGGAGGAAGTCCCTGAGAACCCCTGTGGCATTGTTCATGTTTATGTTGACTTTGTCAATTGGTTTTAACGGGATGAAAAACCCATGTGCGATCCTGACTAATTTATTTTTTTCATCCAAATCTGTTCAACCATACTGGCATGATTCATTATGACAAGTACCTAACATCCATCTGAACTTTTGCATTTGTAACAGTACTATGCTTACTAGATAAATTACATAAATGTTTTATATACAAAAAGTAAGATAATTGATAATAAATGAAGTATAAATGACTTACAGAGCTTCGTTGTAATAAAAATGTCCTCCCGCTCTAGACCATGTTTAGGGAGTAGTGTTTGAAATGCAGTTTTCAAATGCACCTCATTGTGGTACACTGCTGCAGTATCTGTGCAACAATAGAAGATTTGATCACAACAATTCGTCAAATCTACACATGAATAAAAAACTGATTGAGAACATACCAAACATACGGTACCCGGCTGAAAGGGCTTCATCAACAACTTTCATTATAGCATCTCCACATCTTATTCTGTAAGTACCAACTGTGAAAAAATACTAATATACATATGGTAAAGAATTTAAGCGTCACTAATAATAAAATTTGTTTACATGTTAAACTTACAATGCAGTACAAGGATACTAAAACTAAAAACGTAATTCAGGAAATAAAGTAATAAAATTCCACCACTTGGTTGCCACTTGTTTGGGTTGATCCGATTCCGATACAATCTAACCATGTACGAAATCCGTCGGTACAGAGTCAATGACAAACATCCAAAACAAGGTACATTAAAACTTCCACAATCACAACATTATTATTTATGTTATTATAAATTATCTCTTATACTTACGTCCCACAGCAGGCATGGAATTCCCATGATTTAAAGTAAATCTCTTTGTTGTAATTAAATCGGGATCAATAGCAGACGCCATTCTCTATATTATCACCTGAAATGAATTTGTTTTTTAGAATTACACACACCTGTATCATAAACAAACAACTATATTATAGCGCTGATACAAAAGTACATACTATTCAGTTTCTGATACACAATTTTTATTGAAGGTATACGTTAGTTGTATTTCTTGGCGTACATTTCACTCTATGTAACACTCATCACAAATCAACAACATTGCACTTTGATACTAATGCATTTTAATTCACGTATCCGTCGCAAATTTACAAAGATCGAAAAACAGCAGCTTAAGTGGTGAATAGATGCACTATGCGCCTAACACTTATTGAATAGAAATGCTAAAACGCACTCAAGTCACAACCGCTCTCCGCCAAGACCTGGCGTAATATAACGGAACGCCAGGGATGTAAGATTATGGTGAGCGAAAGCTGGTACAGGTGTCGCTAAAAGGCTCTCAAAACTGGTATTTGAAAAAAAAGTTGGTACACACAATAACGTTATATTAATAAAAATAAAAATTATAAATCGTTCATTTTGTATGTTCTTTTAAATGCAATTTAGAATTTTCGTTTTTTCTTTTCATTATTTGCAAAAAAACACAACTGTTCAAAATCATAGTTATTATTAATATTATAACTAATAATATTATAATTAATAATAATATAATATTAATAATACTATTATAATTAATGATAATGCTATTAATTATTATAATTAATAATTTTATCATCTAATCTAAGAGACAGTTTTTCGTTTGACAGTTCTGACTTCTGACAGACTAAAGAATAAGGAGAGGGTGAACGTAATTAATTGCCACAAAATCCGATTATTAAGAGATATAAATGTAATTTCTTTGTATTTACAAATCGATTACAGTTTTACAGATTTATGTTTGTTAATGTATAAGTCCGTTTATTATTATATCTTTGTTTTTTCTAGTCAATCCATAAGTAATATAGACAAAATAAATAATGATCGGTAAAAAAATTAACATCTAAACACTTAAGTAAAGACAAATAATTCACGGGCTGGTTTCAGAGTGTCAACAATAGACATATTATCTAACAAAATGGTCGTAAAAAACACCTTGCACCTAATTTTATGATAGTCAATTTCACAAAAAACAGTTGCAAGCAATTTTCGTCCTTTATGTCATTTTTCTTAAAACATGTTTTTGGCTAGTATAAACGCTGATCACGACTATAAAAAAATAAATTAGAAATTGAGGAACTTTATTAGGTTGAAAATTGCTTGCAGCTATTTTTTTAAATACTCATCACATATAAATGATTAAAAACAGTTGTATATGTCGACATATGAAGGAAAACTACGTGGATATAGTAGGCCAAAGCCTCCTTTCTAAGGAGAGGCCTATGTCCAGCAGTAGACTATTAAAAACTGTTGATGATGAGGACGTGGATACAAAATCAACACGACTAGACTGGAGAAAGCGAATCTGCTGTAATGCGAATCTGCCGTAAAATGAATCTGTCTTAAAGCGAATCTGTCCTGAAGCGAACAAGGGCTTATAGGGCCATTTATTATATTAATAGAAATAAAATAAATAAATATTAATTCACGCAACAATCTATAAAATGTATTTTTATGCTCAGTACGTTTGTTTGCGAGAGACTCGCCGAGAGTACCTGCGCAATATTCGGTCTGTAAGCTAACTTCATTGGCGCAGTCGCGCGTATTGTAAATACTAAAATATGTCTGGATTAAAAATGGTAGGTTATTAAAAAGTTCGATTATTTTTATATTTTAACAATTAATTGTATACAAGTGAATTTGAAGAGTCACAACACTACGGTAAAGGACCTAATGACACGACTTTGAAAATAAGTCTAAAAAATTATGTTTATTGTGTGTAATGGTTATTTTGCTTTATTTAAAAATTAATACCATTATGAAGAGTAAATTTTTACAATAATCAATTTCGTAAAAATAACGTACAACAACCTACCCGTCTGGCCAGCGTGATATAGTAGGCCAAAACCTCCTTCCTAAGGAGAGGCCTATGTCCAGCAGTGGACTAGTAAAGGCTGTTGATGATGATGATGATGATGATGAACGTACAACAAGAACATATATATTATTGGACACAAGAAACAGAAATTAAAGTACATCAATGTAGAAAGTTGGTATTATTGCGTTCCAACACAATATTTAGTTGGTACATGGTACAAGGCCCTGAAAAATGGTACGTATACCAAGAAATTGGTACGTCTAACATCCTGCGTAACGCATCAATCAATGCATTCAATTTATCAGCTTTGTTAGAAGGTGCGCGCACGTGTGAGTTTTGTCACGGTGACAAAAAAGGTTTGTCACTGTCACCTCACGTCAATTTAACCTTTTTAAGTAAAATTAATGGCTTTGAGGTAAAGGTTACCACAATTTCTCCGATGGAGCCATTGAATTAACAGAAGAAGAAGAACCACAATTTCACCAATGTCATGTATTTGAAAGACAAACAGTCAAAGGATTATATTATTGTGTAGAGTTGTGGTAGAGCCAAAAAGAATAGAGAATGATCGAAGGAGATAGATAGATAGATAGATAAATACTTTATTTGTACACCAATGTTTTACAGACATTATACAGTAATTAACGACCGATGTAATGTACAAAGGGCGGCCTTATCGCTTAGTGCAATTTCTTCCAGGCGACCTTTGAATAAATTGTAGACCTCAGAATGAATAAATTGTAGACTTTATATACTTTATATATATATATATTTCATGTATTATTTATAGTTATACGCGTGTTAAAAGTAATTTAGGGGCGTGGGAAAAGGAATATGAGGAGGAATGAAGTCATAAATAGGAAACCCGGTCCTGGGGCAATTAAAAAACATATGGTACGCGCTTCCCTCATCAAGTCCACATTCGCAGATACAGCTATCCTTGATTCTGAGTTCTGTTAAAAATACTAGTGTTTGAGTGATTTAATCTTAACCGACAAATTGTAGAAGTAGTGTTTTTATACAATTTTGTGAATTTAGCAAACCAGGGCTTAAATGGAATTTCTTGTTGTATATCGCCGTAAAATTTGCCTCTAACAGTTTTCGACACGCGCCACAGCCTAGACCAGGATTCAAATAGCATTAATGCCCATTACTAGTAAGCGGAATAGCGACGTGCGTGGGTAGCAAGAGAAAGAAGATGGCGATTTATATGCGTCTCTCTCGCAACTCTTCGCTAATTTGTTAGCTTGAAGTGGGATGAGGAGAGAGAGAGAGCAATGGCAAACCAATATCTTCTCTCCTTTATCTGTATTATCTCTATGGTGTTGACACTTTGCGCGCACCGCCATATTAACTCACAGGATGTACTATAGTGACAAAAAAGTCACGGTGACAAAAGTTACTCGTGCGTGCCCTGCCTTAGATATGAAGAGATGGCAATAAATCAATGTTACCCAAACCTATAACAAAAAAGTGCTCGAAATACTGTAAAAAAAAAAATGGCAGGCTGGCATTAAAAAATCGTTCAGTATTCTTAAAATGTGATATTTTATTATTATAATTAATATTTATTTATTAGGCTACCATGCCAAAACCTCTTTTCTAAGGACAGGCCTATGTCCTATTAAAGGCTGTTGATGATGAGGATTTTAAAAGGTGTCTCAGTGTGAATCTAGTCTTAAAACTCATTTAAAACGAACGCCACTTAAAACGAAATTCACCACTCCATACTCAAGTGAGTGATAACTTATTTTAGAACGATGTTTATGTCGAAATATCTACTCAGGTATAGATTTTGACAGATGTGATCTTTCTTTACATACGATAAACTGAAACTAGTCTCAAGCAGTGATTTCTAGGGCATTTAAGGGACGACCTCCGTCCTCCATAAGCGCAGGCCGGGGTGCGCGTTGCGAAGCGCGCTCGCTTCCAGGGAGCAGAGGGAACATGGGGTTCCCACACGGGGGAGCGTCGTCTACTCGTCTGTAGATGGCCCGAGGTATGCCGGGGCATCAGGGACTCCCTTTCTAGGGTATACCTGGTTCCCCGGCTATTAGTACCCGAGACGTCGTGCGGTTTTAGTCGGTTCGAGTCTGACATGCCACCGATAGGTGGTATCCGAGGGGATTTCCGCACGAAAAAAAAGGGCATTTAAGGGAAAATAATGTGTTTTACGATGATTAGATGCTGAATAATTACGAAAGATTTACTTTACTTTATTTACGAAAAAAGTATAAAATTTACTGAATAAATGAATATACATACATATATAAATATATATACTGTATTGATATAAAATTTACTGAAATTGTCATTTTACAAACATAATACTTGTTTAAATTAAAATCATCACAACCTTTTGGTTGATGTTAAAAGTATAATATTACAAGTAATATAATATAAGAGTACAAGTAATATAATTTTTTTGGAATATAAAAATGTAAATCTTGTTTGAGAAATCAACATGACAAGTGTTAAAAATAACTTGAGCGAGACGTTATAGCTGATAACTAGTCATTTTTATTTATTTATTGTTATTTTTTATTTATTTATTTTTACCTCCTAAGTATTGACTCACTATTCGTCAGAGCCGTCAGCTGTGCGCCCTGACCACTCTATATTCCATTCTCAACTCACCCATTTCCCCCTTCTACCGGACATCTTTATTCCAGTTTTTGTGTTCCAACTACGATAGAACCCTCTGTTCATCGAACAATCCTCTTCTGCTATGCCCCACTCATACTTCTGCTTGTGTCCACTCCTCATTCCTATTCCCATCCGTACTACTCTAGAACGCTCTCCCTCTCGAAATCAGGATAGCACCCACCCGCCTCTCGTTCAAGATGAAAGTTCAAGCTCGCCTTCTGGACTAGCAGATTCAACCTTAAAGTTTTACATATTATTAATATGTAGGTGTATGTATGTATGTAACTAGGTAAGTATTTATGTATTTGGTACTTATTTATGTATGTTTATCGCATTGTTTTTGTCTAACTTATCAATAATTTTCTTTTACTTCACATATCAATGTATAGCGCACCTAGCCACACAAGAAAATGCCTGTGGCATTAAGTCCGCAATCAAGTCGTACAACTCATACTTGCGCATAAAATAAAATATGAGTCAACTGACATTATAATAATTTTACAGGAGCGCGATTTGAAGGCAAATCGTTTATATTTTAATGAAATCAAACTTATTCGAAATAAATGTTGATTTAATAAGGATTGGAAGCTCTTCCTTTGGTATACAATGCTTTTGCCGATTTTTGTTTTTAAATGTCATTTTATGTACATGACTGGGTGCGGGACTCGGTCGTATATAATATGGTTTAACTTCCAGTTATATTCATGTACGAGGGTGGTCTGAAAAGTTTCCGATCAAACAAAGATATAAGACCTTTACTCAGTTTTTTTTTCAACATAGTCTCCTTGTAACTACACACGTCTCAAGTCCAAATACTACTCGGCGTTTTTCTCTACAAAATAATTAATTACTTTTATTTATTACTTATTTATTACTGTATTTACAAACACTCACTATTACAAACAAGAAAACACTATATAACTCGTTAGTCGCACTAGAGATTCGCTTCTATGTTAATTCGCTGCGTCGTAAACCAAGACTACGGCCAACACGCTCTGCTTTTATAGTGCTATCGAAATTATGAGACTAATCTCGAAGATCCGATGGAATGTCCCGGACAGAATCACGTACAATAAGAAATCTACAAATGTCTATAGTCTTCCGATATTCGACACCAGACGGCACTACAAACAAGTATCGGAATTAAAAACCATAATCTCAATGCGTAGCGTTGTGCCCCACTTGTTACTAGATGGCGCTGTCTTCCAGACACAACACAAGAACCACTCAATCTTATGGCGCAACACTAACCCCTCCTAAGACATGCTCGTCCCGAGCATTATCGGTCCCATAAAAACGCGTCAATTGATCCACATGAACAATTTTAGGGGCGCTTCTTGGATATTTCTGTATCCTGTAGGTAACATCATTGATTTTTGTCACAATGGCCCATCTCATTTGGCTTTTAGCTTTAGCTTCGGACATTTGCCTTTACTACGAACTGAAGTATGTAGCCACACTAGCGAACTTTCTTTATTTATTCTCTCACTAGCGAAGCCCTTATTGTTCACTTGCCGGTCATAACGGGTTTTCATCTTCTCAGACATTTTTTGGCCTGATTGTCTGACATGCTAATGCACTTCGGTATGGCAAAAGAAACGGTTGGATGTGTTTATCCTAATCTCTGCCTACTTGCCACAACTTTTGCCAGATAAATCTCTAGTGTTTGGTTAAATCGTTCCACCATTCCGTCCGATTGTGGGTGGTAAGAGGTGGTTTTGATTTTGTGAGACCCCATTACTCGACACATCTGCTGAAATATTTGAGACTCAAAATTTCTTCCTCGGTCACTGTGAATTTTAAAAGGCACTCCAAAACGACAGAAGACTTCGTGCACTAATTTAGCTGCAACTGTTGTAGCCTCTTGGTTGGGAGTGGTGAAGACTTTTGGCCACTTAGTTAAATAATCCATTACAACTATGAAGTACTTGTGTACAATTTCAATGCACCAGAAGTAAAACTTCTTTCATTACGCTTGACTCGGGAAGTAAGCTGGTGAATGCGTGAGGTGAGCGTTACGAAAAGTGTGATCGGGCGAAGCGAACGGAAGTTGAGAGTGAGACATAAGTTAGTGAAGCTAGAAAGAGAGAGAGTTACGTTTCTTATGTTACTGTAGGGGCAAGAGAGAGAGGTGCTAGCACACATGTTCTTTCTCTCTTTCTCTGTCGTGTGGTCTAAAGCACACTTGTTCTTTTCGTCTACATGTTTTGTAATCTCATTTATTACTCTCTTGTGCACATATCTCTGTAACCTCACACAAACATCTAACAAATATCTTGAAAGAATAAGACGAGATCATTACATGATTAGATTTTTAAAAGAGTTATTTTCTAACTCCTAAAGGTCAATGATCCTTCCATCATCAACTCAGCAACATGACATAAGGACTACTAAACGCAAATACCTATAAAGCTAGAGAAATACGCTAAAACACATTGTCGGGGCTTTAAAATTTGAGGGTTTCTCTCCATTTCTCTAGGATCCCATCGTCAGATCCTAAAGTGGTGGTGGACTACCCTTGGCTTGACTACCCTTACCCTTTCGATTACAAAAAGAATTTTGAAAATCGGTCCACAATTGATGAAGATATCGCGTAACAAACATACAAAGGAAAAATATACAGACGAATTGATAACCTAATCTTTTGTGTTTTTTAAATCGGTAAAAATTAGTAGTTTTCGGAAGACAACTTTGCTTTAAAAGGTATAATAGGTAATTCAATTAAAAACGTTATTATTTTTCAAAATTTATTTATATTTATCAACTTTCAAAACTAAACGCTGAAAATAAACACATTGTTTTTAAAAGACAGCTCCCGCATTAAGAATATACACGCACAAATTCGTTTGAGGTCGTTCGCCGTAAATGGATCTACCTACTACGACCTCTGCTGATAATGCCCTACGTTCACTTTTTCGCCTTGACCCAGTAGCTCAAATACCTACTATGTTCTATTAATATACTTGAGAGGTTTTTTACTTAATTAAAAAATTGAGTCAACTCACTTACCTACTGGTATTATATCGAAGGCCATAGGTTCTCGTACAGAACACACATAGTTTAATCAATCTTCTCGGATCGTTGCTCGACGGGCTAAGAAAAACCATAATAATATCATCAATGTAGCGTTTATTCTTCGCTCTTTCATTTATTCTTCTAAGATCATAAAACAGACCGTCCATGTATATAAGTTAAGAAGTCTTGGTAACGGTGGTCACTTTTACCAAGCAAAGAACTACCTGATTTGCCACGCGAAAGGGCCTAGTCAAAAGTTGAATTATAAACTCGTTTCATCTCCATACGAGAGTATGTCTAAGAACACGAGTTAAGATGTAATGCATCTTAAATTGTTGAAGCTAAAAGACCTAGACAGATAGAAAATAAACGTAAATAGAAGCTTAAGCATTATCAACCTATCGCAGTCCACTGCTGGACATAAGCCTCTCCTATTGCATGTCACTTGACAGACCAGATCATGATCGAGTCAAAGGCCTTCTTATAGTCTACGAATGCTAGACACAGATGCTGTTTATATTCTTCGGTTTTCTGTATAATCTGCCGCGCTGTGTGAATATGGTCTATGGTGCCATATCCGCTCCGAAACCCAGTCAACCCAGTCTATGAACTATCAACTCATCGAGAGTCATCACGAACCGTCATGCGCGAAAACTCTACGATTTCAACATGGACTTGTCACCCTTTTTGAAGAACAAGACGACCACACTTCTACTTCACGCCGCCGGAGTTCTCCCTTCAAACAGGACAGCGTTGAAGAGCTTTTGGAGCTTCCTCAAAACGGGGTTACCTCCAGCCTTAATCGGCTCTGTTGTAACGCCATCCTCTCCAAGGGCTTTTTCCATTTTCCAGCTGTCTTAAGAGCCAACTCAATTTCGTCAGTGCTGACTTCGGCCAGGTCTTCGGTGTAGTGGCGTGTTAATGCGGTTCTGTGGTCCTCATTTTCGAGAACAGGTCAAAATCAATGCGAAGCGTATAACTGGCCATAAAAGCTTTTCACTTCCGAAAGGACTGTCGGCTCCAGTTTCTATGGTCAATTTCGTCAGGTGGTGGTATGGTCGCAGCGCGTTTCGCCATCACCTCGGCCAGCTTCTGCTAGAGTGACAGTTGACTTCACCTGTCACCCCCAGGCCTGCGTTTATGGCGGACGGAGGTCGTTCTGCGACCTCTGTCCTCGTCGAGGCGTGTGCGGTAACTGGCCCGTTCCCGGGAAGGCAGGCCGAGAGAGTTCTAACCCTCTCCCGGTCCCGCTCCGCCATCTCCTTCGTAAGCATAACTTGCTTGCAGAAGGAGATGGCGGAGTTCCACGCACTCTCGCTCCGTACCATGGCGGTAATTATACAACCGAGCGAGAGGACTCCCAGTCCGATGGCCACCACGAGGTCACGCCTCTGCTCTACCCACGCCGGGCATTCTGCCAAAGTGTGGAGGGCCGTGCCAACGGTGCAGTCACCGCAGTGGTGGCACTCAGACAGACGGATGGCGCGGATCAGACACAGGTTATCTCCGAAACAACCTTTCCCGGTGATCACCTGCGTCAGCCCGAGAGGGTACCGTGTCGGGTACCTCTTCCCGCCGCAATTCCAGCGTGCTCGAAGTAATCAACCCTATTTATTTATTTTAACGTTTATAATAAAAAATTGAGATACTACTCATAGATGAACCACTGAAAGAGAATATGTCTTTTTTTTCTTTACAAAGTCTGTTTTGTTTCTGTTTCAGATACCAAGATACAGCATCGAACATACCACTTGTGTTTGTTTTAAGCACTGGCTCGGATCCTTTTGGAGCTTTCCAAAAGTTTGCCACAGAGATGAACATGCGTGATCGAGTGCATTCCATTTCGCTAGGTCAGGGGCAAGGTCCTGTTGCTGAAAGGATGATCAATGGTGCGAAAAGTAAAGGCGATTGGGTTTTCTTACAAGTATGTAAATAATTATAATATAATGACAATTTGTTTATTAAATAAAACCCGATAATTATTTGTCATCTGTAATAATTGCAGAACTGTCATTTGGCCGCTTCGTGGATGTTAGGCTTGGAGTTAATAGTGTCTAATTTGGGTACCACTCAGGGTGGAGTGCTACATGATGATTTTCGTCTATATCTCAGTTCGATGCCAACCCCGAAATTTCCAGTATCGGTGTTGCAAAATTCAGTAAAAGTAACAAACGAACCGCCAAAAGGTTTGAAGGCTAACGTAAAAAGAGCTTTTATAGAAATGGATGATGACTTTTTTCGAAAAACATGGTATCTTCTTTGTATATTTGCTATTTTTTCCATTCAAATGTAATTCTTGCAGTAATTTTCACTAACTTCTACAGGTTCGTTTAATCTTAAATTATATCGGCTTCTTTTATTTCTTATTATATAGTATTAGGTCAAGATTGGCGTACGATGCTGTTCGTATTTGCATGTTTCACGCCATAATTCAGGAACGAAAAAAGTTCGGCCCGCTCGGATGGAACATCACATATGAGTTTAATAATAGTGACCGCGAATGCGCCATGCTCAATTTGCAAATGTTTTGTGAAGACGGTCATATGCCTTGGGACGCATTGGAATACATTACCAGTAAGATAAAGCCTTTAGCTCTCTTGAATTCCTTACGAATTAGATAGATATATGCAACAATATACATAACAACTTCACTACTTTTAGAACTTCATGAATTTTGTTGGATACCTATGTAGCCATATTTTAATAACAAAAAAAAGTCAAATAACATAGGGTAACCGTTTTCTGACTATATTAGATATATTTATTTATTAAGCTACTTAACTTATTAATAAAATTCAGCATTCAACGTTTATTTTCCTCGTCTTTTTCAACATCCTTATTTGTAAAATAAAAAGAGGTAATATTAAAGTAGTAGTAAATATTAAAGATCGCTTAAAATATTTAAGGTATTTAATAATATCTGGTTACTACTTAACTTTTTCAGGTTTAATAACGTACGGCGGTCGGGTGACGGATATGTGGGACCAGCGTTGCTTGACAACTATATTAAAGGTTTTCTTCTCACCACCGACTCTCGAAGAAGGATACGCCTACTCTTCATCTGGCATTTATTATTGCCCGAGGACTGAAAAAATAGAGGATATTCGCAATTACATTGATACTTTACCAGTCATTGAGACACCAGAAGTCTTTGGCATGCACGATAATGCAAATATAGCATTCGAGGTAAGTCTTTTTATTCTAAATCCTCTCAGTCTTACTCTAAACAACTTATACATTACAGTAAATAATGCCAATTTTAGCATGGGCTACTGACAAGGTAACCATATATTAAATGTTTTTTTATATACCTATATAATATTTTTTTTACATTTTAGACTTCCTACTGCGCCTGAGTATTGTGAGTTCGATCTCCACATAAGACCACACTTTGTGCGATCCACAAATTGATATTCTGAGTCTGGGTGTTCTTTGTGTCCATTTTATATATGTATGTGTGTAAAGTCCCCGCGATACAGGGTATATCCCTAGTCCGGGAGTTTATAACATGTCAGTTGCAATACGATCATAAAATAATATTGAAATTTGATTTTTTTTTCTGCATTATTCGTCAAGTGTCATTGCATTTTGTAATTTCGCCGCTAACAGACATTTTTAGCAGTTTAAAAGCTAAAGTCTGAACTACTTTAAATTTATTTAAAACAAAGCCTAAACAAAACTTGGACTTTATTGACTATTTCTTTGAAATGGTTTGGTTTGCAGAACAAAGAAACAACGAGTTTAGTACAAACAATATTAGACGTACAGCCACGAACAGGAGGCTCTGAAGGCGGCGACACTCCAGATCAAATCGTGTGGCGCATTTGTTGACCAGATACGAAGCCAAAATATCCAGATCAATTGACAAGGGCCTTATGAATCCAAAGTTAATGATACCAGATGACATGGGACAGTTACATTCGCTGACCACCGTGCTGATACATGAAACTGACAGATTTAACACTTTACTAGCTCTAATACATTCTTCGCTTAATGATCTCCAGAAGGCTATCAAAGTAAGAACTTAACTGTATATCAAGATATTTTACATAATAATTTACTTATTTAATACATTGTCTATACGTAAGTATATATTAATTAATTAGTCTAGGCAATATCTTTCTGAATATTATGAAAAAAAACTTGCATCTTTCTTTGCTATTATTTTATAGGATCGCCGCCTCATATGATATACCTACCTACCTATGTACCTAATATTTTAAAAATTGTGACACTGAAAAGTTGGTTGAAGTTTTCGACCTTTGAGAGTAAATTATACACATATACATACCTAAAATATAGTAATAACTAGATCCGATCTAGCTCCGCCCCCGTGTATGTCGCTTATTGTGGTAAAAAGTAGCCTATGTTATTATCCATTTCCATACTTACATTATAAATGTGAATATGTATACTTATATTATAATTATTATCAATGTGTGTAAGTTTTTTTGTTTGTTTGTTTCACGCCTAAACCACTACACTGATATAAAAAAAATCTTTTACCAATGGAAAGCTACATTATCAGCGAGTCACATAAGCTACTCTTTACCGCGATAACCGACATACCTGCAGGCGGTGCCACCGGCAAAAACTAGGTTATAAGTTTAGAACTATGGAAGAATGGATTACTTAAATACAATAGATGCTTAATATTCTGAGAACTCATTTCTTTTACTTATATCAAGTCGCCGATACATTGTTTCTTTTTTAGGGTCTTGTGGTAATGTCTGAAGCATTTGAAGCAGTTTTCACTTCTTTCCTCAACAATAAAGTGCCTGGCATGTGGCATAGAAAAGGATATAATTCTTTGAAGTCACTTGGCAGTTGGATCTACGACCTCACATTACGAATTGATTTTGTGGAGGTAAACATATAAGTATATGATATTAAGTATTAAAAAAAAATTGTAGACAAAAAAGAATCCTTAACACTGAAAAATATTTAGCCACCAAATTTTTTTGTTTTTTATATTGTATAAATTATTATTCCAGTAAGTTTCTGAGTATTGAGGCAGAAGGTGAAAAATAATAAGGAGTTTGAGAATTATGAACTAACTGAAAAAACTCGAAACAGATATCGATTACTGACATCAACTACCTCTCTTATGTTTTCAGAAATGGCTCGTGGAAGGACTTCAACCGAGTAGCTGGGTGTCAGGCTTTGTTCTTTCCGCAAGGCCTGCTGACGGGTTCACTACAATCGTATGCACGTCGTTACCGAGTGCCTATAGACGCATTGATGTTTGACTTTTTCCCCAAAAAGGTCTTCTTGACACAGGATGATGTTTATATTGAAAATAAGAAAAAGCCTAAACCTGTTGTAAGTCTTAGTATTATATTATCTAGGAATCATCGCTTCCAACCCTGCAGATGGGAGATAATTCGTTGGTCCATGATGCCAAGGAGAAAGTCGATCTCTTAGTTGAACTCTTTGCATCCAACTCGACTTTGGATAACGGGGGAAACGTATCGCCGACCATACCGCGGTGCAGAGCTGTATGCCGGAATTCCAGTTCACCTAGAAATCAGTGCGTAAAACACTCATTTCCCTCGATATTCATAAGTCGAGTGGTCCCAATGGAATCTCTCCTATCGTGCTGAAGACGTGTGCTCCAGAGTTGGCACCAGTTTTAAAAGGCCTTTTTCGACTCTCCTACTCAAAGGGACTAATCCCACCCACACGCCCACCACTGTAACTCCTGCACACCAGGATCCACAGCAGTGACCCACGAACACCGGTGTGTTCGTGGGTCATAACTGGGACTTCCCCGAGTGTCATAACTCGGTAGTTATGACACTCGGGGAAGTCCAGGAAGAAATAAAACTGTCTTGGAACCCGCAACGAAATTAATCAGAAGAAAATTGGAGGAGTTGAAAATACAGTAAATCCACTTCCCTCCTTAGCAAAGCGGGAGAGAAAATGAAGTAAATAGGCATACACCCTTTTAAACAGGGAAGCACCACGGCCACAAATATTACGGGTCTTAGGTGAGCTATATTTGATTTCTATAATATGTATGGCAGAATTGCCTAAACGCACGGAATTCACCCTAGTTGACACAAGATCGCCATAGTATACCGACCCAGATGTCACCTGCAAAGCTATTCAGCATTATATTACGTGCATTATACCAAAGACTGCATTCCCAGAGGATATGATGAGCAGACTGTTCATAGTGAGAGTTAGGTGTTGAGCATTGACGCAATGGTGACTCGACTAATTTAAATGAATACAGCTTACTCTTAAAGTTACAATGACCCGTAAGAAATTGAGCGACACAGTGATCCACCTCAAGCCATGTCCTCGACAACCGTTCGCGAACAGATGGAAAGAATTGGTAAAGATGGCGCCCCTTGGATGATTCGTCCCAGCGTTGTTGCCATTCGTCTATGAGGTCATTTTAGTTAGTTTAGTTCTACCTGTGAAAAGTACGAAGAGATATTTTAAAGCACCCGTGATTTTAATTTCAGCAACAGCTTGGGCCACCATGCG